TCAGCGGACTGTAAGATCTTGAGTATCCCTGGTTAAGGAACTGATTGATGGGAAGCATGAATTCTTTAATTAAAAATGAAAACACATGAAAGCCTTTTGTTGATGAAGGATAAGCGTGAAATGCGTTCTAGTCTCTCCCAAGGGCCAGTGCATTTGCAAGGAGCTAGCAATAAAACTAGGTTGCTTCAAACCATCTATTTGTTTGGAGCAAGGCCTGTGTTTAGAATTTTCCTGTAAATGAGGGTTTATCTGGAGTGTTTATTACAAGTGCACTGAAGAGGGCAGTCTTGGCCAGAGGGTTGCCTGCAGAGCCACTTGAGGCCGAGCACAAACTCACCCTACGGCCTTGATTTAGACAAGGATTCCCAGACTAGGACACCTGTGGGAATTGGTGTGGATTACTACTATTCCTATGATTTATTATTTAGTTATAACGGAGATCGGGGCCCCGTTGTGCTAGGCACCGGGCAGACCTATAGTAAGAAATACAACGGCTTACAGTCTAAATAGACAAGACAAAGGGGAAAGGGAGTATTGTTATCCCCAGTTCACAGGTGGGGAATTGAAGTACAGAGAGAGTTTGGGTGAAAAAAGGTGTGTTCTTCACTTGAGTTAGCTACCACAGGGTCAGCTCTCAAAACTCAACTTGCTAACTCATGTGCCGGCTGGGGCCATCTCCACAGTCCAGCCTGCTGCCAGCGTAGTTAATCAGAGGTGTGATCCCGTTGGAGTCAGGCACCTCCGTGCCCAGTGAGATTTTCAAAAGCCCCTATCTGTGTGATCTTTGGGTGCCTAAACATCTTTAAGAATCTGTCAGTTTCCTGTCCGCAAAATGAGGATCATAGAACCTCATAGGGGTGTTGGGAAGATGGATCCATTAAAGACTGCGAGGTGCTCAGATGCTCCAGTCATGGGAGCCGTATAAGCCCGATAGAGGAGGGTGCAGGACGCACTCCGCACCTGGCAAGTTTGAGCTCAGCGTGCAGGCAGGTATTGCGTTCTTCACGCTTAGCTGCCAGGGTCTAATGCGGAGGTAATGTATGTCTGAGCGGATGGAACATGGTTTGCTATTGGTGATGAAAATTTAATGTTGCGATGTTAGCAGCAGGCAGTCTGTGGTAAATTGCAATCAATAAACATGGGCAAACATTGCTCAGAGGCCGGAAAGCAAACTCCGGAGAGAGGGGAGCGCTCTGCGGAGGCTTCAGGAACTTACTTTTTCAATGAGTAAGCAATATTGTCCGCCTTTGGGTATGGCGTTGACTGGATGAGTCATTTGCAACCTAGATTTAAACACGAGCAGGCATGAATGGCTTTTTACCCCGATTGCTCAGCTATTGTCCAGGCTAGGCTCATGGCTCTCTGCAGCAGCTAAAGTGTAATGTTCAGATTTCTGCGGGGCATTGCGCAAGACTGAAATAAAACCAGTGTGGGCTTTGGAGTCCCTGTTTGGCTGGTGAACTTCAGAGTCTGTTGTGATAAGCATTGCAAAATGAACAAAGACCGCTCCGTAGCATCACAGGTACGGAGCTCGCTGCGCTAAGGGGTTGCCGGGTTTCTAATTGCACAAAACCGAATCCCCTTGCGCCGCCCCCTTCCCGAGGCCCCGCCCTCAACTCACTCCATCCCCCCTCCCTCTGCTGCTTGCTCTCCCCCACCCTCATTCACTTTCACTAAGCTGGAGCAGGGGGTTGTGGGGAGGGAGGGAGTGTGGGCTCTGACTGGGGGTGTGGGCTCTGGGGTGGGGCCAGAAATGAGGGGTTCAGGGTGCAGGAGGGGGCTTCAGGCTGAGGCCGAGGGGTTTGGAGTGCGGGAGGGGGCTCAAGGCTGAGGTAGGGGGATGGGGTGCGAGTGGGGGTGCGAACTCTGGGGTGGGAGTTAAGGAGCGGGAGGGGGTTCCGACCTGGTGTAGGGGGTTGGGGTGCAGGTTTGGGCTCCAGCTGGGCAGTGCTTACCTCAGGCGGCTCCCGGTCGGTGGCGCAGCAGGGCTAAGGCAGGTTCCCTGGCTCCACGCAGCTCCTGGAAGCAGCCAGCATGTCCGGCTCCCAGGCACAGGGGCAGCCTGGCGGCTCTGCGTGGTGCGCGCTGTGCACTACCCGCCCCCGCAGCTCCCATTGCCTGCTGTTCCCGGCCAATGGGAGCTGTGGAGCCGTCACTCGGGGTGGGGGAAATGCGCAGAGGTTCCCTGGTCTCCTCTGCGCCTAGGAGCCAGAGGGACGTGCCAGCCGCTTCCAGGAGCTGTGTGGAGCCAGGGCAGGCAGGGAACCTACCTTAGACCTGCTGTGCCGCCGACCGGACTTCTAATGGCCTGGTCAGCAGTGCTGACCAGAGCCACTAGGGTCCCTCTTCGACCGGACGCCTGGCAACCTTTGCTGTACCTCTGTCCCCTTCCTGGTCTCTCTGAGTGCACCCTCTCAGGTGTCAGGCCTCTCTCTCTCTCGGAGTGGGATCACATGGTTCTCCCATCCCTAGACTGGGCTCCGGTGTTACAGCATCCTGTATCTCCATTGGTTCTACCCAGCAGGTCTGACTGGGTTTTTCCCTTCAGGAGTCTGTGTCCGGCAGCGAATACAGTGACCAGACAGTCTGCTTAAACCCAAGTATTGTTTAATCTTAACAGCAGGAATAAAGGATAACATAAGAGAAAAAAGGTTTTAAAACAAGTCCCTAGTCACGTCCCTCTTACCTAGAGGCTTCCCACCTAGCAAGACCTAAGGGAATGAACAGGTTTCCCCAGAGACTTCAGTGAGAACCGCATCAATCCCACGCTGCTCAAGCCAGGTGTGCTGCAAGGAACCTGTATTTTTCCACTGTCCAGGGATGGATATCTCCATCCAGCCTTCTTGCGGCTATTTGATGTACGACATTTCCTTCTATTAAAAAAAAAAAAAAAAAACCAACAACCCACACTCACAACACCCCCACCCTCACCGCCATTAAATCCATCATCTTCCTCAGTGAAGTCTCTTTCATTGTGTAAAAGATGTAGAAAGCCAGCCCTGTTCCCCGAAGATCTCCAGCGCTAATTGTCCCATCTGGATTCAGACACGCCTGGTTATGTCTGTTCCGATAAAGACGCAGTCCTAGGCCACTTCCTCTCCTTTTTCCTCCCCCCTCCCTCCCCCCCGCTTTTCTCTAAGTGTTGTGTTAGTCGCCAGGAAAGCAGGGCCGATCATTAGCAAATGCTCTGCAGGTGGCTGTGGGCTTGGCTGTCCAGTTCAGCTGATAGGGCACCAAATCTGATACATCGATGCCTTTTTAAGAAGCAGGAAAATAGGTCATAACTCCATCCCCATCCGTTGCTTTCTTGATCTAGGTTGTCAAATCTGTTCTGTTGTATCTCGGGTCTGATACCACCCTCTTTGTTGTGTGCCTCGCAGAAGTGCACGGAGCGACACGACTAACGTGTCACACGTGGGTTGTTCGATCTCTTCTCCTCCGCCCAGGGGGCGAACGAAGTATAGGGCAGCGGGTTTTGTTTTGGTAGGCTGGTTTTAGAGGCACACGCCACTGCACAAAGTTGAATTCCTCCACAGTAGGGTTGCCGAGCAAACACCCACCCCGTGATGTGTAGGATTAATACGTAGCATGTAAGGATTGGAAGATAAATGGATGATTTGTCCTACCCTGCTTCTGCAAATCAAGATAGCGCCGTGATAAAGGCTACATAGTCCCCAGATTAGCTTATGTGCAGCGCGTTGCTTTCATGTCAATGACCTCGGTATATGGAGAAACGTTTAACGTGTTGATTAGGAGATTTGTCCAAGTGGGGGCGGGATGAGACACATCCTGCCTGATGAGATTCTGCACAAAGCTGACACAAACTACAAGTGTATGGCAGCATCACCCCCGCAACAAGGGAGGGGTTGGGGAATGTGCCGCCCTGACAGTCTGTCACATCCCAATAAGCAAATGTATCCAGACTGGGGGAATCACCTGATTATACAGGACGTGGGATCTCCCTTAAGACAACAGGGAGCTCCTGCCAAAAAGGAGAGGTCCTCAGTAAAAGCACATATTTAGCTCAGTGTACCTCCAAGTTAGGGCCTGATCCTGCATTGTGGAGTCAGTCGGAGCAGCATCAAGGTGTCGTTCACCTTCCAAGGGGATGATAGTATTCACGTTTACATGTCCAGTGAGATTCTTTAGGCAGTATGGCCTAGTGGATAAAGCACTGGACTGGGACTCAGAAGACCTGGGATCTACTCCTGACTCTGCCACTGGCCTGCTGGGTGACCTTGGGCAAGTCACTTCAACACTCCATGCCTCCGTTTCCTCATCTGTAAAATGGAGATAATGATACTGACCTTGAGATCTATTGATGAAAAGTGCTATATAAGAGCTAGGTATTACAATTATTTATGGGAATTAAAATATAGTATTTTAGGGGACCCATCACTGCCGGTCTGGTGCTTGGATATACCAATTACGAGATCAATTGCCAATTAGTAATCTCATAATTACCAATTACAAGATCGTTACCAATTACTAGATCTGGTCTTCTCTCTGCTTTTCAGTTCCTAGAAGGCCAGCCTCCTGTTATGTAATCCACGTAAATGGCTCCCTGAGGCACAAAATTGTCCACAGGAAAAAATATAAATATAGACAGACACACCTGCCAGGATATTTGGGTTTATGCAGGTTTCTGCAGAACCTGACTGCGGAGTCCAACTTTCATCCAAGGCTGTCAGTGCAGTTAGCAAGCCTGATGACACCCCCGTGGGACAGGTAAGTGTATTGTTATCCCTGCTTTCCTGATGGGGAAACTGAGGCACAAAGAGAGTAAGAGATTTGTTTGAGGCCACACTGAGTCCACAGCTGAAGCAGGAATAGAACCCCTGGGTCCTCATTACTTACTACCCTGGCCCGTATTCTCTCCCTCCCTAGATATGAGATGTGTTTCATTAGATGGCCTTTCTCTCCTTACTGACTCGTGCCAAGAAGAATGGAGTGGAGGATCCATCCGAGTGCTCATGGTGATGTCTCCTGTCCTTTTCCAGGTGTGGTGGAGGCGTGCCTCCTGCACATGCTGAAACGCAGAGCCGCCGGCTTCCTCCGGACCGATAAGGTCGCTGCCCTCTTCACCAAAGTTGGCAAGACGTACGCGGTAGCTGGGGACATATGCAAGAAAGTGCAGAAACTGCAGCAGCAGGCGGAAGGCAGGTAAGGCCAAGGGCTGTTCTGAATGTGAGACCGTCATGGCGGCTTGAAGGGGACAGCTAGAGCTGCTCGGAAAATTACTTTGGGCAACTTTTGGGGGAAAATTCAACCGGTCAGAAAAACTTGTAGAAAATGAATTTTTGTCAAAATTTTCTAAAGTTCAAACGTTCTCAAGTGAATGGCAAAGGGCCAAAGGGCAAGAGCTGGGTTTGTGCTCCATTTAATTTTTACTCTTTATGTGAATCACGGTGTACCCAGGAGCTCCAGTCAAGGGTCAGGACCCCCTATTATACCAGGTGCTGCCGAGACAAATAACACAGAAGACAGTCGCTGCTCACGGGCAGCTAGGTATCGGCCAGGATGCGACAGGTAGACAAAGCAGACCGATTGGGTGGAGGTGGGTGGGAGCAGGTGACAGAAGGAACAGAGCTTAGTGGAAAAGCAGAAGTCGCGGCTCTCCCCTTGCCAAAACCAGGGCCAGATGGGAGCGATTCACCCACTTTGTGGCAGAGGGCAGTTATTTATGGAGTAAAGAAGGCCTGAACGTTTATCTTTGCTTGCTTGTTTGTTCCCCTTGACCACCCTTTTTTCTTCACGTGCGTTGGGAGACCTGATAGGCCCACCAGAGGAACAGTGCAAGAGACACCAGATTCAATACACCCCAATCAGCATTGTACACGACGTTTCCACTTTCAGGCCATGATCCTACAGTGTCCTTCCTGCCGACTGATTCAGCAGAGGTCATATAGGAGTAGGGGTCCCTCCTGCGTGGAGCTCATTCCAGGATCAGGGCCTAATAAACAATGAGATAAACCAATGACTGGTAACAGACAATAGGAGGGAGGGGTGAAGGCAAGGGAGGAGGAGGGTAACCATGATCAGGCCCTGATTGATTCAGCAGCCTGGGCCTCACTTTAAACATGCACGTAGTCCCATTGAGGTGAAGAGCCTGAGGCCCTGATCCTGGAAAGTCTAAAGCATGTGCTCCGTTTTACTCACTGTCAGTGATTCCATTGAAGTCAGTGGAACTACTCACATGCATAAGTCTTTGCAGGATCAGGGCCTTGGATTGTAAGCTCACTGGGGAAAGGACCGCATCTTCCTATGTGTTTGTACAGCACCTTGCACAATGGGGCTGCTGAACCTGGACAGGGGTCTTTGCACTCGTAGGAACTTCTGGTCTCTTGAATATCTTGTTGCACTAAGTTCCTGTAGTTATATAGGTTTCCAGTGAGCATGAATTGATGTTCCAATAAAAGATATTCGCTCACCCACTGTGATGTTTCTGAATCATTTAAACATTTATTTACATTAGCTATTTTAACCCTGCCTCCTTTGTTTATTTTTCCAACGCTTACCTTTTATTTAACTTCCTTTTATTACCAAACTCTTTCATTGATGTATGTTTAATAAACCCTTTCCTTTTCCAGTTTTTTTTTTTTTTTGCCTCTTTATTTATTTAAAATCTCTGCCTATTTCCATTTTATTTGGTCTGGTTTAAATGTTTGGCAGAAAGACACTTTTATTAAAAATTCAACATCCACGCCCCTTCAATTAAGGGCTGAGAAAGCTCCCAGTCCACTGCTCCGGGACCTCCAGCTGTGACTTCTAACAAAACAGAGCAGAGGAGACTTGAATTCAGTTCGCTGAATGTATCAGATCTGAGAAACTGGTTCCCTGCTATATCCTGACGCCCTGATTCACAGAAGCATCCCTATTTAGGACAGCACTTAGGGCATGCCTACGCTGCCCCACAGTTAAGAGCTGCCTTGACGAGGCACTGATATTCTTACGGCTATTTGTTTGTGTTGTGGCAGCACCTAGGAGGCCCTGTCACGGACCAGCACCCCATTGTGCTAGGCGCTGTACAAACACCAAACAAGAAGATTGTCCCTGCCTCAAAGAGCTTCCAATCTAATGGATTTAGTCCACGTGCGTAAGTGCTTTCCCGCGTCGGCACTTGGACTAAAGTGCACTTGGCAGGAATGTGACCCATGACCACGTTACCGTAAATTGTTTTCTACGTCCTGTGCACTCCCTAGTTAGGTGAAGCGTCCAGGGTGACTGTTCTGATGATTGTATTTATAGTCTTCATTTCTTATATTATTCGTTGGTTGCCGCATTGACGGCATTCTGGATGGAGCAGCGTTCTCCTTCGGTGCTGCCTAACTAATGGCACAAGCAGTGTTGAGGCAAAACGTGGGGTGGTGGGGGAGAGAAAAAGCGCTCCCATTTCAGGTCACCTTAGTGCATCAGAAAGAAACAAAAAAGGGTGGAGGGAAGGTTCAGAAGGATGTTTACATGGATCAGAAGGCATCCCTGGCAAGGTTCCGCGCGTACGACTGTGTGTGTCAAGAATAATCCATATTGGCCTGTAAGGCAATATACTCCTGGGTAGCAGGAAATACGAAGCTCGCTGCCAGTGGGAAGAGAAATGAACATGGCTCCAAGTGTGAAGGGGAGGTGGGGACAACCGTGCACAGCAGATGGGAGGCTGATGCAAACTGGGATGGGCCAGCCAGTGTGCTGTCTGGGCAGTGGAATGCAAAACCTGGGAAAAGGCAGTGGTGTCAATTTCGTATTTGCGCAGCTCACTAAACCGCTTCCCACTGTGACCTGGGCTTGTCAATCTCTGCGCCAAGAAATGGCCTGGGGAGGGAGTGTGTGCAGGTCAGAATTGGCATGCCTGGGCACCTCTGAGGGGGGTCAGCCCGAATCTGGCCCTGGGTTAGTAGCTCATGTTAAGAATCGATCGATAAGGAATAGCGTGTGCATTTGAGCCATTCCCTTTAATAGGCTGGAGGCTGCTTTTAAAAAAATCCAAAGGAAAGTAGGGTCGAGGCAGGCCAATCGATAACCTGCAGCATGGGAACTGCTGCTGGACATGGACCGCATTGCTGGGTACGGCGTGCAAAAGAGCGCTAGGAACTCAACTCTGACCCTCTGCATTTGGCGCACTGTCCACCATCAAAGCCAGATAACGCCTGATCTGATTTAAGAGCAGATTGGCTGAGACAGTGGAACAAATTCATCCCTGGCATAATCCACTAATGCCTCCCAGGGCTGAGTCTGGCTCAGCGTCTATCATCCGTTCCGTTGAATTATCTGTTTCCTTGAGATGAGCCCCACCTCTTGTCCTGTCCTGCTGCCTGGCGTGCACCTTTCCCAAACTTTGGAACTGGCTGGGCTCTGCGTACATCTCCCTCTAACTCCCCTCCTTTACCGAGCTCTGCATTGCTTTGCAGGTGTATTCTGTAGCCACCGCAGCCCCTGGCCAGCCACCTCCCACTCCTTCGTTTATTTCACTGGGACTTGGATGAGTTTTGATCAAATGCACTGCTACTGGCTAGCCCTTTGGAAACCCTGAATTCATTGTTAACATCTCATGCCAAGCCCTCTGGTTCTCAACTCAGATCATTTGGACGTGACCTTAAAATTTGACCCCGATGGCTGTTCTGTAACCATCAAAGATCTCATGGAACTTTCATAAGAGTAGAGATTTTCCATAATTCTCCCCCGACTGTCTTATTCATGGGGCTGCTGCCTTCCATCCCAGAGGTGGCTGCATTTTGGGTGCTGAATGAATGTTTAACCCATTGCTCAGTGTTTGTTACAGGTCCCCCGCTGTGCCTGATCCACACGGAATCTAGAGTCTTATGGCTCCAACTAGAAATCTTTGGCTCTTAAACCAAGCTGTAGCAGCTGGCTGTCACATACACAGCTGACAAAGCACCTTGAGATCCTTTAGGATGGGGGATGCTGTCGAAATGCAGTTGATGAGTCTCCAAACGTTAATATTTGAATGTCTGCATCCATCCTTTCTACAGTCTTTCCTGCAGCTATGCAAGGGCTAAGTGAAATTTGCAGTTGTATTTGATGAGAAATAAACGTCTGCGCCTTTTAGGCAGTTGATTCTCTGGAACATTTAGATTTTTGCTCTGTTGGGTGCAGTCTCAAACAGACCAGAATAGCAGCTGCTCTGGGTTCAATGGACCTGCTATACAGTCTATCTAATCTAATGGAGCCAATCTACAGTGGGAAAATAAGATGGAATCCCAAATGCCCCCACATTTGGAGGAGATTTCAAAAACTGCATGTGGATTCAGATTTGATTTTTTTTTGTAAACAGGTCCCTGTGAAGTGACTAGTGATTTTGAGTGTCCCAGTAGTTGGGTTCCAACTTGAGATGCCTTGAAGGGACCTGATTTTCAGAGGGTACTAAACATCTGGCCCCTGAAAATCAGGCCCCTTTAAACCTCTGTCTGGTTATCCCCAAAATGGAGGCACCCCAAATGATTCATCACTTTTGACCCTATTTTCATAATGGGCTGAATAAAATTCTGGATCCTAGCACCCCAATGCAACGGTGAACATAAAACATAGTGACCACATCTGACTTCATCTGATGCACTTTGTGTATTCCAATACATGTGCACGCAGAGCTCTGTCAAAGTAAAAATCGACTCCAACAACTTTCACTGTATCCCTTTTGCAGGAAAAATCAACCGAATGGCCAGGAATCCCTCAAGAGGCAGGGGTCTACCTCAAGCAAAACACCTGTCCTGACGCTGCAGGCCATCAGACACATCTGGGTGCGAACGGCCTTGATTGAGAAAGTGCTGGACAAAATCGTCCAGTACCTGGTGGACAACTGCAGGTAAAGAGCGGGGCAAACAGCTGGCAGCACAAAGGTTTTGTTTGTCGGACCAACGTGCGCTGTGTCTTTGTAGTAGCGAACGTCGTCAGTGTCCCATCCGCAAACCAGAGCTGAGCAGAAAAAAGTTTAAAAAAAAAAAAAATAATCCCCACAATTTGTGTTTTTGTTTTAGAAACATTTCCTCAATGTTTCAAAGTTTCAATTAAATCTCACCCTGCGGGAGAGCTCGAAGAACTAGTAAATTAATCTTACACATTTAAAATAAATGTATTTTTTACTACTTTTTTTAAAACTTTGCAAAATGTCAGCTGGCTGTAGTGTAGGGGTAAAATTATCAAAGGACCCTAAGTCAGTGGTTCTCAACCTTTCCAGACTACTGGACCCCTTTCAGGTGTCTGATTTGTCTTGCGAACCCTAAGTTTCACCTCATTTAAAAACTATTTTCTTACACAATCAGACAAAACAATACCGAAGTGGCATAGCACACGATTACGGGAAAAATTGCTGACTTTCTTGTTTTTACCATATAATTAGAAAATAAATCGATTGGAATATAAATATTGTACTTACATTTCAGTGGATAGTATATTAAGCAGTGTAAACAAGTCATTGTATGAAATTTTAGTTTGTACTGACTCTGCTAGTGCTTTTTCTGTAGCCTGTTGTAAAACTGGGCAAATATCTAGATGAGTTGATGTACCCCCGAAAGATCTCTGCGCACCCCCAGGGGTACATGTACCCCTGGTTGAGAACCACTGCCCTAAGTGACTTAGGCACCTAAGTTCTGTTGACTTGCACATTGCAATAAGAATTAGGCACCCAAGTCATTAAGGTGCTTTTGAGACTCTTAAGCGAGAAGCTGTAGCGTGCCAGGAGGGCATGTGTGCTCTGCAGAGGAAAGGGGAGCAAAAGGAGGTGAGGAGTGAAAATTTAGAAAACTGTAGGAAGGTCTGATTGGGGTCGGTCAATCCTGTGACGACATGTTGCCTTTATTTGGAAGGGTTACGTTTGTGATGGAGATTTCCCCCTTCGAGGCTTGCAGAGAGCTCAGGCACCTTGTGGACGTGATGCATTTGGATTCTAGCAGACATGGACAAACTCTTTGGCATTCTACTCAAGTCTCCTCCTGGCCCCGTGCCTAGGCATTGGGCTCCCCAGGGAGGTTGTCCTCACCTTATCTCCTCCACCCCTACAGCAAACGCAACAGAATTAGGAGTATCCTGGGGAGACTTTGGTGGTCTCAGAATAAAGGAATGGTGGAAACCCTGAGGCCTGGCCTAGGCTAGTCACAAACCGAGAGCATGTCTGCAGCATGTCTGTAACTTGCTTTGCTCTTATCGTGGAGACGGGTATGCTTGGCTGTGCAAAGGAGAATGGTATTCGGGGGCAGTTAAAGTATTGTGGTAAACCCAGGACAAACAGCTACAAAATGGGATTGTAGTAATTAGTCCCAGGGGATTAAAAGGCCCCTCCCTATCCACTGAGGAGAGATAACCAAGGGCAATAAGGTTCAGCTGGAGAAGGGGTTGCTAGGGAACCAATTAGGTTCAGCTGACTCCAACTACTTGGGACCTTTTTAAACCGTCCCCTGGGTGGTAGGAGGGGGAGAGTGAGGGAGTGAGAGGAGCAGGGAAGCTGCCAGTAGGCTGTTTGCAGCAAGACACCAAACCTTCCCAATAGGGAGGCTGCACTCGCTCCCCAGAAGGGAAGGAAAATAAGCACAAGGGATTGACTGAGGAGAGGAGTAGAAGGACTCTGGGTCACCTATAAGGATTCGCCTTGCCCCAAACCTGAGTCTCCAAGGCTAAAAAGGACTGAGCCAAACAAGGTATTTTGCCAAAGTGGCTAGACTCTGTCAGTCTTCACACAGTATTTCCAAAATCTGGGTTAGGTCTTCCTTGGAAGCAGGTCAGAAGAGGAATATATTTACCTGTTCTGTCTTCCCGTTGAGAGGGAAGAGAAAGGTCTTAGTGATGATCAAAAAAACTATTTTGTTGGGGGCATCTGATCCCAGTTTGCTTAAACAGCCGTTTGTGATTTGTGTGTTGGGGAGGTATGGAGCATGGGGATATCCTGTGAAGACCGGTGAGCTAACTCTCCTCCTGTGTTAAGCCAGTTTTTCTCCTGATAGCAGGGTAGCATGAGTGAGGCCCACGATCTCTTTCAGAAATGCACCCCTTTTTCGGGAGTATAATGGTTACTTCCTCAATCAACAAGATTTGGGGCCATAGCTTCAAAGTTAGGTGTGCACGACTGCCTAAATGATCTCTGCAAACCAGGTGCTCTGTTTGCACCTGCGCTTGGCCAACGACAAAGCATGGAGATGTGCATATCTGGTGCACTGCAAGCACATGTTGTCGTAGGTGCCTGAATTGGACAATCCAATCGTCTGTCAGTAAAACTGGTTCCCAGTCCAGTCTAGTCCTGTACCTGTTCCCAATCCAGCCCTGCCAGTCTTGGGTCCCGGACCTGGGATGAGGGGTGTCTTGTCTCTTTGCTTCTAAAGCAGCATCAAGGTTGTTTCTTTGTTTTGTATTGTTGTGTTTTCCTTGTAATTTGAGTCCATGCCAATTATGCTAAAAAGTTTTTCTTTAAAGCAAGAGAATATTTCTGATCAGTGGGATTACATCACTTCTTGAATCCCTGGTGTTTTGGTGGCTTCGCCTTTAGGAAATTGGAAATAGCATAGAGTTTGAGCCCCATCTAGTGGAAGATACAAGCAGAATGATATTCTGTTCAGAGAGACAAGATGGGTGAAGTAATCTCTTTTATTGGACCAACTTCTGTTGGTGAGAGAGACAAGTTGTCGAACCACACACAACTCTACAGATCTGGGGAAGGTAAATACAAGTTGGGACGGATTGTTAAGCGTAAGGGGTTCACACAATTAAAGGTTGGCAGGCAGTGTGGTATGTTACAAATTGTCATAAAACTAGTGTCCCAGTTAAGTCCAAGGCTTTTGGTGTCTAGCAGAGTTATGAATTTAAGTCCCCAGGCTCATCTTTTGAAGGTGTTGAGCAGTTTTCCCTTGAGGATCAGTACTGAAAGATCAGATATGGAGTGACCCCTGTGTGAAAAGTGTTTACCCAAGAGTGCACGGTGTTTTTGTCCTTTATAATTTTCTGTGTGAGTTCATTCAAGAGCATAGTGATTGTCTGGTTCCACCCACATGGTTGTTGGGACATTTGATGCAGGGGATGAGATACACCATGTGTTGATAGGCATGTGTAGGACCCATGGACCTTGAACGGTGTGTTGTGGGGGGTATGGAGCATTATAGCAGGGGAGATGTGTCTGCAGGTTTTGCATCAATTGTTCTGGCAGGGTCTGGTGCTGCTTTGAGTTGCTATGTCCTGGTCTGTAGGGAGCTTGCTTCTGATGATGAGCTTGGCGAGGCTGGGAGGTTGTTGGAGGGCCAGAAGAGGGGATTTGGGAAATATTTCTTTCAGGGTGTGGTTTCCATCAAATATTGCTTGATGATTCCCTATATTGGGGTCAGTGGGCGGTTGTTTTCTGTATTGAAGCATGCTTTCCTGGGGTGTGTGGGCCCGTTCCATGATGCGATCTACTTCTCTGGTGAAGTGTCCTTGTTTTGTGATGGCGATTTTAAGTGTGTTTAGGGTGTATACTGATCTTTCTCGTCAGAGCAAATTCCATGGTATCTGACTCTGTGGCTGTAGATGACGCATTTCTTAGTGTGTCTGGGGTGGGTGTTGGATCTGTGGAGCGAAGTTTCTTGTGTATTGCACTAAGAGTGGTGTTGCAATGGTTGACTCCAAGTTTACACAAAAAAATTGTTCATAATTTTATATATAAACATATTTTTAAAATAGATTAAATCACTTTTTTCCGTTTTTAGTTGTGATTACCTTAATGTAGAGCCTGTCTAAGAGACCCAGGTAACTCGATTGTCTGCAGTTGCCCTTGGGATGATCGCTTGGCTGCAGAATTACGTTTCAGTAGGGTTTTTGTGGTTTTGCTTCAAAACTGAACCTCTCCTTCTGCAAACTTTTACCCCCGTGCATGTGCTTATTCCAGCCTACCCTTCCAGCTACTTCAGCAGGGTTGCGGGGAATAACAGTATGCTCCCAGAGTGCCTGTCTGCAGGATCAAAGCTGAAGAGTTGGACCGCAGCTCTGGAGAATGCCTCTCCCCCCGGAGGCCTTTGACTCTTTTTGGGCAGGCTGTGGTAGGAACTAGCAATGGATGGCATTTTCAAAAACACTGGTGTGACTCAGGAGCATGAGTACCTGTGGCAGTCAATGGAACTCACGCTCCTAAGTGACTTGGGAGCTTTTGAAGATACCAACACGAGACTCTAATCCACTTCCATCTTTTATTCCCAGCAAATATTATGAGAGAGAAGCTTTATTGGCAGATCCTGTTTATGGACCAATCCTAGCTTCTCTCCTTGGTAAGTACTTTCATTTTTCGCTCCGGGTGGTTTAGGGTTTGGTTTTGTTTTGTTGCTTATTGCATTTTCCCAGAAGCAGAGCCGGGGGCGGGGGGCGGGGAATGGAGACAGATCACCTTGTTTTCCTATTTATTGCTGGCTTTGATGATAGAGCAGAACCGAATTTGGTTTTCTTAGAGCACTTTTCTAGGTGTGGTGTCCCACAGCAGGGAATTGGAGGTACTAACCGCGCAGTGACTGTATATTAAGTGCTCAGCAATATTTCTCCTGCAGTCTCCTAACATCACTTGGTTTATTGAGCGAGGGAATTTGGCCAGAATGTCAAGGTTATCTCCTGTGCTGTGAGATCATTAACTTCACCAGACACGAGCAGAAAGGACCTCAGTTTAACATCTGACCTGGAGGATGAGTGTGAACAAATGTCCGTTCTTCTTGAAGATCCTCTCTCATTACTGTCCTCCTAGTTGGGCCGTGTGCACTAGAATACACCAAGCTGAAAACAGCTGACCACTACTGGACAGACCCGTCAGCCGACGAGCTGGTTCAGAGACACCGGATCCATGGCGCCCACGGGCGCCAGGACTCACCCTCAAAACGCCCGGCGCTGGGAGTAGGTATTTGCAGCATGCCCCTTCTCTGTTATTGGCACAGAAGGAAACCCCACAAGAGGGGAAGAAGGGTGGACGGGTATTTAGATAACACCCACGGGCAGCCTCCACCTATTACCAGGAATGGAGAACGCTTTTTTGTGCATGCCTTCATCACAACTGAAAGGCCATTTGGCTCCAAATGTTCCCTCCAAATTTAGGGAGGTTTGAGATCCAGATCTGGAATTTTGTGGCTTGAGACGCCAGGGCTTTCACTTGCTATGCTGATTCCCTGCCTTGGGGAAGATCAAGCCTCTGTGGCTGGGGTGAGGGGGAGCGCCCCTCACATGCCTGTAAAGTCCAGGGCTGCAGAAAGTAAGTCCATCCGGAAAGAGATTTCTCGAGATGCCCTTTTTAGCGGAGCTGCCGCTCTGAGCGGCCTCTTCATACAATTGCGACTGGTACCGTGTAAGCTGTGTGCTGACCGACGGTTCTCGTGTCTCCTAGATCCGGAAACAGCACTCGAGCGGGAGCATGTCGGAAGACCGATTTGCAGCTTCAGCTAGAGAATACGTGGAGTCTTTGCACCAGAATTCAAGGACTCACCTGCTGTATGGGAAAAATAATGTCCTGGTCCAGCCAGTGAGTATCTGAGCATCAAGTGTGTTGAGTTCATGTTACTGGAGCGAGATTAATGCTGGCTGGCTCAGCATGGTAGAGCCAGGAATGGAACTCAAGTACCGTGAATCCCCAGCCAGTGCCTTATTCTCTGGACTATCCAGCTTCAGAGGCAGTGTCTGAATCCTGAGCTGGCCCAGCAGAAGGCAGATGCATCATCTGTCTGAGCCATGTAAGCTTCTGGGATGGAAGGATGCTGAGTGCCATCCTTTCTGGCTCAGCCCGGGTGTTGGGTGGAGCTTTGACTCCTTTCCCAGGCAGAGACCTCACTAATGGTACCCCCACCCCCCTCCAGTTAAACTGTGATATGTACTGCAAACAAAAAAGGAAGGAGAGAACTGGGATCAAGCTGGGATTAAAATTGGCCAATTTAAATGGGTTTATACCCCTACCCATCAAACGGACCTCCTCCCACATTAGAATCATAAAATATCAGGGTTGGAAGGGACCACAGGAGGTCATCTAGTCCACCTCCCTGCTCAAAGCAGGACCGATCCCTAATTAAATCATCCCAACCAGGGCTTTTTCAAGCCTGACCTTAAAAACTTCTAAGGAAGGAGATTCCACCACCTCCCTAGGTAACCCATTCCAGTGTTTCACCACCCTCCTAGTGAAAATGTTTTTCCTAATATCCAACCTAAATGTCCCCCACTGCAACTTGAGGCCATTACTCCTCATTCTGTCATCTGCTACCACTGAGAACAGTCTAGAGCCATCCTCTTTGGAACCCCCTTTCAGGTAGTTGAAAGCAGTTATCAAATCCCCCCTCATTCTTCTCTTCCGTAGACTAAACATCCCCAGTTCCCTCAGCCTCTCCTCATAACTCATGTGTTCCAGTCCCCTAACCATTTTTGTTGCCCTCCACTGGACTCTTTCCAATTTTTCCACATCCTTCTTGTAGTGTGGGGCCCAAAACTGGACACAGTACTCCAGATGAGGCCTCACCAGTGTCGAACAGAGGGGAATGATCACGTCCCTCGATCTGCTGGCAATGCCCCTACTTATACATCCCAAAATGCCATTGGCCTTCTTGGCAACAAGGGCACACTGCTGACTCATATCCAGCTTCTCGTCCACTGTAACCCTAGGTCCTTTTCTGCACAACTGCTCCCTAGCCATTCGGTCCCTAGTCTGTAGCGGTGCGTTGGATTCTTCTGTCCTAAGTGCAGGATTCTGCATTTGTCCTTGTTGAACTTCATCAGATTTCTTTTGGCCCAATCCTCCAATTTGTCTAGGTCCCTCTGTATCCTATCCCTACCCTCCAGCATATTTACCTCTCCTCCCAGTTTAGTGTCATCTGCAAACTTGCTGAGGGTGCAATCCACACCATTCTCCAGATCATTTATGAAGATATTGAACAAAACCGGCCCCAGGACTGACCCTTGGGGCACTCCACTTGATACCAGCTGCCAACTAGACATGGAGCCATTGATCACTACCCGTTGAGCCCGACAATCTAGCCAGCTTTCTATCCACCTTATAGTCCATTCATCCAGCCCATACTTCTTTAACTTGCTGGTATTAAACAGATTGCTAATAGGAGCCTCTCTAATAAGAGGGTTCTCAGTGGTCTAGAGGGGTGGGAGTCAGGAGACTTGGGTTCTAGTCTTGGCTTCTGTCACTGACCTGGTGCATGACCTTGGGTGAGTCACCTCACCTCTGTTCCCCCATCCACACTGTGTTTTGTCTATTTAGATTGTAGGCTCCCCGGGGCAGGCTGTGCGTACATGTGTGTATGTTCTCCGGGGCAGGCTCTGTGTGTGTGTGTGTACAGTACCTAGCACAAATGGGGGTTGGGGTGTCTTTTATTTCAGTTAGCTCCTCTCAGTGCTACTGCAATACAAAGAATAATTTTGCATTTAGATCAATTAATATATAGTTTAGAAACCAATGAATGGCTGCTTGTTTCAAAGCTCTTATATCATTCAAGTAGCACGCCTCGGCCACTGAAGGGTGGACGCACACGTTTTAGGAATAGTTTGGGGGTTCGATTTTTTTTTTTTTCCTTTTTTTTGTCCTGTCCAACAAAGTTGTTTAGCAGGGTTGATGTGTCTGCCTAATTTATTTCTGGTGGGTTTGGAGGTGTTAAGTCTGCCCCAGGACTGATGCTGTGAATTGACAGTGTTAGACACCCAGAAGACAGATTTGCTACTAGATCTTACCTGCAGAGGAAGGAAAGCTGCTTGAAAGAGGGTTATGAGTTGATAGAAAACTCTCGGCCCTGCCAGGAGCTTTAATTTATTACCGTTTCTGCAGCTCCTATTCACAGACCACTTGCCAAGGAATAAAGAAGGGGTGTCGTTAATTAGTTTGTATTATGGTAGCGCTTAGAGACCTCAGCTGAGATCAGGCCCCCGAGCAGTAGTTCTGTACAAACACACAATGAGACATTGTCCCTGCCCTACGAGCTTCCACTCTCTAGAAGGACGAGTGGACAAGGGAGGAAGTGAAAATGGAGGCCCAGAGTGGGGAAGTGCCTTGGTCCAGGTTACACGGTAGGTGGACCTGGGAATAAGACCTTGTGTCCATGTCCAGTGGTCTGTCCCCAGGACCAGAGTGGATCTGAAAACGCCTGTTGTCACCTTTAAGCTTCGACCTTCATCCCTCTCCAATTTCCAGAGGTGTTGAGCGCCCACAGCTCCCATTGGTTGGATTTGTGGGTGCTCAGCTCTTCTGCAGATCAGGTACGCCAGAGCCCTAATTGTTAGTGGGGGAGATGTGAGTTTGGAAGCCAGGTGGGGATTCCAGAGTAAGCCATCATGGTGGCTAATGGCCTACGTCCAAGTGCCATTGGAAGGGGACGAAGCACTGAATAAATGTGGCTAATTGAAGGGACAGGGTTGGCCTGTTGGGGGATCTCTCATCACAGCTGACTTATTCCTCAATAACACACACCACGATTTCCATGTGCTTTTCTTTATTTATTGTTTTAAACAGAAAGACGACATGGAGGCAATTCTTGGCTATCTCTCCCTTCATCAGTCAGCAGATAGCTTGACTTTGAAATGGACTCCCAATCAGCTCATGAACGGCACCCTGAGGGACTCTGAGCTGGAGAAAAGGTAACATTCCCTTCGCTAGATCTCTATCTTGTATACTTCACCCAGCTAACTGTAACAGGAGTAAGAGACAAGCAACAGGGCTGATTTAACTGAAGGGAGCATGCTCCATCAAATAGGGCACTGGGCTAGGAATCAGGAGACCAGGTTCTATTGCCACTGGGCTGCTGTGTGTTCTTGAGCGAGTCACTCCACTTTGTTGTACCTTCGTTTGCCTTCTTGTTGTCTGTTTTATCTATTTAGATTGTAACCCATTTGGGCAGGTGCGCGGTCTCTTACCATATGTTTGTACAGTGCCTAGCACAACGGGGCCTTGCTCTGAATGGGGATTGCTAGGTGCTGTCATGCAAATAATAGTGATAATAAAATGCAAGGTTATTTAAAAAAAAAAGAGTACTTGTGGCACTTTAGAGACTAACCAATTTATTTGAGCATGAGCTTTCGTGAGCTACAGCTCACTTCATCGGATGCATACCGTGGAAACTGCAGCAGACTTTATATACACACAGAGAATATGAAACAATACCTCCTCCCACCCCACGGTCCTGCTGGTAATAGCTTATCTAAAGTGATCATCAGGTTGGGCCATTTCCAGCACAAATCCAGGTTTTCTCACCCTCCACCCCCCACACAAATTCACTCTCCTGCTGGTGCTAGCCCATCCAAAGTGACAACTCTTTACACAATGTGCATGATAATCAAGTTGGGCCATTTCCTGCACAAATCCAGGTTCTCTCACCCCCCCTCCCAAAAACCACACACACAAACTCACTATCCTGCTGGTAATAGCTCATCCAAAGTGACCACTCTCCCTACAATGTGCATGGTAATCAACGTGGGCCATTTCCAGCACAAATCCAGGCTTTCTCACACACCCCCCACCCCCATACACACACAAACTCACTCTCCTGCTGGTAATAGCTCATCCAAACTGACCACTCTCCAAGTTTGACTCAAACTGACCACTCTCCAATAACTCTGAAAGGTTATTTCAGCAATTTTCCAGAATAATTTATTATGAAACACATTCTGGACACTCGGAAAAATCAGTAAGATTTGCTGGGTGGCCATGCTGAAATAGTTCTTGTTTTCAATTTGTGCTCACTGGGATCGCCTCATTGGATCACAGAGACGGCCACATAGTGTTGCCCCAGCATACATCAGATAATATAATCCAGATTTAGGACCCGTTGTAAAGGAACAAGTCTTATTTCAGCGATCCAGGGCTGGAGAACAAAAAGTCTGCCTCCCATTATCACGAGTCTCATTTTTCGGGTGCCCATTGCAGGATCTCAAAGCACTTTATAATCCATCCTCGAAGCAGCCCTGTGATATGATTGCCCCTGATTAGAAGAGCGGTCCCTCTAATCCAGTATTCTGTCTCAGCTAGTAGCCAGTACCTGCTGCTTCAAAAGAAGGAGAAAGAAACCCTGCAGTAGGCAGTCATGGTAGAATGTGCCCCTAGGAAATGTTTCTTTCTGACCCCCGATCATTAGGCTTCACAGCATAAACCAACTAGAGGTTTCATATCCCTTCAAAGCTGTTTTAATTCTTACGGTTATAACTCAGGAGTGTTTTGCATTCATTAGGAAGATCCAATCCTCCTTTGAGTCTCACTACGCTCTGGATCTCAATGATAAGCTTCTAGCCTGTGCAACTTACTGCCACAGTTTAAGGGAAGGATCTTGCTTCTGTTGAATTTCATTGGTGCGTGCGACATTGGGCCCCATGGGGCTTGCCTTGATGGTTGCATGTAATTTGTGGCAAAATAGAACCCAGGTGTCCTGAATCCCAGCCACAAAACCATCTTGAGTGTGATGCTCTGGGCACTTGATTCTTGTTTTTAGCCAGCAGATGAGTGCTGTGTGCATGGGAGGGGAGTGACTGTGAACCTGCAGGCTTCAGCAGTATACGCTATGCCAAACTCGTTCCTCTGCCTTTTACTTCACCGTAAATTCCACTTAATCAGCCAAGTTTAGTAAGCTGCTCTTAATTTAGTGCCGTGTCTGTGCTTTTACTGGGCAGTCTGGCCACTGATTATTAAAACCATTTAATCTCTTGCATTTTTTTTCCTTTCAGTGTGTACTGGGACTACGCCTTAATAGTGCCATTCAGTCAGATTGTCTGCATTCACTGCCATCAGCAACGTAAGCATAACCCTCTTCAGCCCATAGGGTGCCACAAAGGCTCAGGGGCCTTGTTTTCTGCAGGGGGAATGTTAATGCTGTTCGTGTTTTATTTTGCTGCCTCTTCGGCGTTTATTTCCTTGCAGGCAGACAGAGGTTTATCTTTGTTTCTTCGTGGAACTCCTCGGCCAAAAGCTGTTCCCGTTGTCTCTTGAGGCTTGACTTTGTCCTAAGTGTTGATGTAACACAATGCTTCTGGGTGGGTTGTTGGCAGGAGGGATCACACCTGGGACCTGTGGGTCTAAAAACATGGGCCTCTCCTCTCAGAGATCTAGCTGGGTTAGCCAAGGCTGCAGCAGGCTCAATCCTCTCCAGATGTGGCTGCACCTCAACAAGCTGTGTAAGCTGTGGGTGCTCAGTTGCTCTGAAAATCTGGCCTCTGCTTTTTAATTATTGCGGGACAGAAAGGGGGTAATTTTAATTGTTGGATGCCAAGTCATTTTATTTTAAAAAGTTTCTAAAAATATTTTTGCAGTGTTGTAGCCGTGTTGGTCCCAGGATATTAGAGAGACAAGGTGGGTGAGGGAATATCTTTTGTTGAACCAACTTCCATTGGTGAGAGAGAGAAACTTTCCAGCTTACACAGAGCTCTTCTTCTGGTCTGGGACAGGTACTCAGAGCGTCACAGCTAAATACAAGGGGGAACAGATTGTGTAGCATAAGTAATTAATATTTCAAGGGACCATTCAAGATGAAGTAGCCAGTTAACACCTCTCCAGTCACGGAGGAAAAGGAGAAAAAAAATGAAACAAGAAACGCCAAACCTGCAGAGGTATCTCCATTGCTAGGATGCTCAACACCCCCACAATGCACCTTTCAAGATCCATGGGTACTACACATGCCCATCACAACATTCACTGCCCTAAATAACACTGCTGTGGGTAAAACGTGGCCATCGCTACGCTCTTGAATGAACACACACCGAAAAATTATAAAGGACAAAAACGCCATATCCCCTCTAAGTGAACACTTTTCACAAAGTGGTTGCTCTGTACCTGACCTATCAGTCTTCAGGAAACCTGCATAACAACCTCAAAAGACGAACCTGGGAGTTAACTTTGCTAGACACTAAAAATCATGGACTGAATAGACACACTGGATTGATGGCTTATTACAACAATCTCTGACCCACTATCCACCCCCACGGTGTTTTTTTAATAGCATAAAATGACCTTGCTATATTTATACATAAATATATACTCAACAGGGCCATGGCTCACTGGAACAATTTGTAACATACCACCCTGCCTGCTACTCTTAACTGACCACTTCAAACCCTTTTAGGCAGAACAATCTAATTCTCAGTTGTGACCATCTCTAGCATGTTTCCCCTTCTGCTAAACAATCTCTCCCAACTTGTAATTATCTCAGACACTCTGCTTCCTTCCCCAGGCTTGAAGAAGAGCTCAGTGCAGCTCAAAAGCTTGTACAAACAGGTAACAATCAAAGATATTACCTCACCTGCCTTCTCTCTCCCAGCTCCTGGGACCAACATGGCTACAACAATAACACTGTCGTCCCTGCCCCCCCTTTTAATCTACGAGCCAGATTTTAAAAGGGTTCTTAGTTAGGGTAACCCATCAGCTAGAAAATTTAATGGCTATCATGTCAGGATGTGGCTGCTGGAAGTAGTGCAGTTTTTCTGTATCACGTAATGTTTAAACGTTATTGGGCATCCAATCGCGGAAAAAACCCAAACTGGGCCATAACTCATAGAAAGAGTCTAACTTTGTTGACAGAAATACAATTCTAAATTGTACAGCTGGCAGTAAAGTTGTTATAAATACAACTGATAATGCAACCATGTACTCAAAATAGCACTGTTTTGGAAAGGGTGGGAAATATTTACCTCCAAGGTAATAGATTTTATACATTTTCCCATACTTTTTGCCGTTGATTTAAAGCAGTGGCTCTCAACCTTTCCAGACTGCTGTACCCCTTTCAATAGTATGATTTGTCTTGGGTACCCGCATGTTTCACCTCTCTTAAAAACTTACAAAATCAGACATAAAAAAATACAAACGTATCACAGTACACTGTTACCTAAAAATTGCTGACTTTCTCATTTTTACGATATAATCATAAATCAAATCAATTGGAATATAAATATTGTACTTGCATTTCAGTGTATAGTATACGGAGCAGTATAAACAAGTTGTTTATGAAATTTTAGTTTTTACTGACTTAGCTAGTGCTTTTTACGTAGCCTATTGTAAAACTAGGCAAATATCTAGATGAGTTGATGTACCCCCCTGGAAGACGTCTGCGTACCTCTGGGGGTACACGAACCCCTGGATTAAAGCAAACATCTGTAGTCACATGACAATATGAGCTTGTTTGTACCATGTAATACATCAAAATATTTGTCACTAGTTGTAGAATGGACTGGTTGGAGGAAAGTTTTTCTGTCTATTTTATTAGTATTGGCTGCTGTCCAATGATTCCTACACCAGCAACTGATGTTAATACAGTTTCAGAGTAACAGCCGTGTTAGTCTGTATTCGCAAAAAGAAAAGAAGTACTTGTGGCACCTTAGAGACTAACCAATTTATTTGAGCATGAGCTTTCGTGAGCTACAGCTCACTTTGAAGTGAGCTCAAATAAATTGGTTAGTCTCTAAGGTGCCACAAGTACTCCTTTTCTTTTTGTTAATACAGTGTACACCCCGATTAAATATTTTCAGGATATGTTCCACTTTCTGAGCCAAGACTGGATCTATGTCATGTATGATCAAGCAATACACTGCAAAGCACACTTGATTAAATGGAAGAATCAAAACGTATTTGATGACCACTTTGAGATAGGAGACATGCATTGTGCATTGAATTTCAGGAGTGATATAGGCAGAGTGATGCAGAAAAGTGGGTTTGAAAACATCCTTGTGGAAGCCAACATCTATGGTTCTTCAGTCGTCAGCAATACTCTGAGGATAAGCCTGTAACGATGATGATAGAATCCACAGACTTCTGCAAGGGGCAACGAATGGTGCTTAGCGATGCCATCCATGATGATGGTCACCCAGATGATAACAGAGGAGATGCATCTTGGAGAAAGCTTGAAGATGCATTGAAGTATTTGAAGATGGGGGAAGGCACAAAGAGAAAGCAGAGTGGAAGCACAGAATGCTCTGGCAGACTTTATGAATATCGTCAATCACTCCATCAGCTCACGGACACTTACGTTACCCCAGGAAAAAAAATCATAAAACTCGCAATATGCTCCTTCGTCCCGAGGCGGTGGGAGACCCCAGGCCACGTCCCTTGCTCTGTTAAGGTATTTGGACTAGGGCCTCCTACTTCCCAGGCAACTGGAGAGGGGGACGTCCCTGTTCAAACACCCTCACCTTCTCCGGGACAAACATCCTCCAAAGAAAGTAAAGGCATTTAAACAGGGAGCTCCCACCTCCCTGGGAAGTCCTCTGAAAGGCCGGGAATCTCAGTTCAAATCCCTTCTTTAACAGGCAGAACCAGGATTTGAACTAAGATCCCCCACTTCTGAGGTGAGTACCCAACCACTGGACCAGGGAGTGATTCTAACGCTTTAGCTGACCCTCACCATATTTTAAATTGAGCAGTCTCAACAAGCAAGAAGGAAAGCCACCCCTTCCCCCAAGTATAGCCCCTAGTCCAGTGATTGCAGCGCTTAGCTGCTAGATGCTTTCCCCTCATCAAACAGAGGGGGGAATTGAACCAGAATCTTCCACATCCTGGGTGAGGAACAAAGCCACTGGACTATAAAGGGATTCATATGGGGGCAGTGGCCCAAACACTATGTAATTATTTAATGAAGTTGACCAACTTCAACAGGGGAAGACAAGCAACCCACAGCAGAATCTCCCTTAGTTCAGTGATTAGGATACTCGCTCGAGAGACAGCAGAGCCCTACTCAAACCCCTTCTTAGCAGGCCAGGGGCGACCTGAACCAGATAGCGATGATAAGAAGATAATTACAGTTGTACCCTGTGTGCTTTAGCCTTATGGCTCCAGCCAAGCAGATAACATCAAGCATACGTTACATAATAAGGGGATGGGGGGCTCATTATCTGCATCACTTTGTACAAATAGACAGATAATTTTTTCTCCAATCAGTCCATTCTACAAATGCCGATAAATATTTTTGACGTATTACATGAGTGGTTCCTAACCCATGGGCCGTGGCCCCTAGGAGTCGGCAGACTATGTCTAAGGGATTGGCCAAAGATTGTCATTACCATACAGCAATGGTTTTCCAAATGTGGCCCGGGGTCCGCTGGGGGTCCACAGACTATGCCTAAGATTTCCAAAGGGGTCCACGCCTCCATTCGAAATACTTTGAGTCCATAAATGAAAAAAGATTGAAAACCATTATATGGCATGGTACAAACAAACTCATGCTGGTGGACAGCTACATAATTTTTCTTTAACCAAAGGCAAAATGGTACAGGTAAATGTATAGAATATATTGACTGGGGGCTAAATATTTCCCCAACTTTCCAAAACAGTACTATTTTGAGCACAGAGTTGCATTATTGATTATATTTAGAAGATTTCTGCCAATTTAGGTCAAAATCAGGCTATGTTTCTGTGAGTTCTGGCCCTTTCTGTGATTTTATGTTGGTGGCGGGGGGAGGGGGAGATGCAGGGTTGGATGGGATGTTCAATAAAGTTTAACCATTTTGTGATAAACTGCACCACTGCTAGCCGCTACATCCACCCTGGTGAGGGGCACCAGATATGTGCCTGACATGTGAGCGCAATGAAATTAATGTCCAAAATGGGTTCAGGCTGTGTGACGCGAGGTGCCTATGGTAGCCCACAATGAAATTGCCAAAATCAGGGCAGGCTCCAAAAAGAAGAGCAGATTCTGTTTGGGGATTGGCCCTGCTTTGAGCAGGGGGTTGGACTAGATCTCCTCCTGAGGTCCCTTCCAACCCTGATATGCTACGATTCTCCCAAGACTGGTGGTTTTCAACAACCAGTCACAAACTGTTCTCCTGGTCCCCACAACACTGGTTATCAAGAAGCCAAAAAAAAAAATCATGCAGCTCCCTTTATCACATTCCAGTCTCAGGCTCCCAATCAGCACATAGGCCCAGTACAGTGAGAAGTGATTTAAAACTCTGCTCGCTATACAAAATGTTCTTCTGATCCGCAAAGGGCCAGCCACATCATCAGATGAATACTAGTTTGGATCTTACCCAAAATACACGCTGCCAGCCAGTCCTTTAGTATCTAAAACTAAAGGTTAATTATAAAGGAAAGGAAAGAGAAAAGAGTTGTTAAATGGTCAAAGCCGTCAGATCCATACATATGACTTCAGAGTCCATAGATCAGGTTCTCAGCAGGATTGGTGAGTTTGCTGGCTTGTAAAGTCCCTCTGGAACACATCCACCGCTTGGATGGGTCTGTCAGTCCTTTGTCCATAGCCATGTCCTGCTGATTCATCGGTGTAGCCCCGGCGTCTCTCAATGGGTTAATTGTACAGCTGATTGCCTTTGGACCATTAAGCAGGCTGGATAGTGCTAATGCCAATCTGTCTGGGGGTGTCACACAGAAACACAGCACAAGTTCGAAATATCAATATACCACACATTTATAACTCACAATACAAAGATGATGCATACAAATAAACAAGATTATCATACTTAGCAAATCATAACTTTTCCATTGATACTTTACATGGCATATCTTGTAAGATTCCTTGCCATTTTGTAATATTGGGATCAATAATATTCTAAATGGTCACCCATATTCCATACAGCATCGGGGGCTGGTCGACTGTCTATTTTTTTTAAACATGCCGTAGACATCATTTTTAAAAAATCAATGTTCATTGCCTGCCAAGGCTCCCTTGGTAGATGGGAAATATCTGGTAAACTTCACTCCTGAATCTATTTAGTTAGTTATCCTGTAATGCAGTGGAATTTGGGGGACAGCCCCAAACAGAATCCAGTTTGAAAGCGAGGTCAACTGATTGTGCTTTTAGCCTAACAAAAGGCAACACAGATGTATCTTGGGTTCTCTTTTGCAGCAGAAAGTGGAGGAACGTTAGTCTTGGTGAGTCAGGATGGGATCCAGAGACCTCCCCTCCATTTCCCACAGGGAAGTCATCTCCTTGCTTTCCTTTCCTGCCTGGAAAACGGCCTTCTGCCTCGAGGACAATTAGACCCACCACTTTGGTCACAGCAGGGCAAGGTACTGTCAGGCTGAGAGCCAGTGTTTTGAACTACAAGTTCTTTGGGGCAAGGTTGGTCTTACTGTGTCTGTCCAACAGCACCCAGCGCAAATGGAGCCAGGGGGCTCTGGGAGCTACTGTCATGCAAATAATAAACTCAGGACATGGGGACATTTAAATGCAAAATAAACAACCCCACTGATTATCCCCTAAACTGTCTGACTTGTTTATAAGGACATAGATTCCGTAATAACATGAGAATAGTTTCACCACTGGACCAGTGCTATAGACACTTTAAAAAGGTGTTTGAAAATGATGTGGACAGAAGCACGCGACCAGCCGCAACCTGATACCCGCCCTGGTGATATCACCTATAACTGATGGACTATTGCCAGACCTTAAAGGGATGTCATTAGGCCTTTACACACCTTCCCTATATAGAATCATAGAATATCAGGGTTGGAAGGGACCTCAGGAGGTCCTCTAGTCCAACCCCCTGCTCAAAAGCAGGACCCATACCCAATTAAATCATCCCAGCCAGGGCTTTGTCAAGCCTGACCTTAAAAACTTCTAAGGAAGGAGATTCCACCACCTCCCTAGGCAACGCATTCCAGTGTTTCACCACCCTCCTAGTGAAAAAGTTTTTCCTAATATCCAACCTGAACCTCCCCCACTGCAACTTGAGACCATTACTCCTTGTCCTGTCCTCTTCCACCACTGAAAATAGTCTAGAACCATCCTCTCTGGAACTACCTCTCAGGTAGTTGAAAGCAGCTATCAAATCCCCCCTCATTCTTCTCTTCTGCAGACTAAACAATCCCAGTTCCCTCAGCCTCTCCTCATAACTCATGTGTTCCAGACCCCTAATCATTTTTGTTGCCCTTCGCTGGACTCTCTCCAATTTATCCACAAATATCCCGACAAGTCTTTTCTCCGTTCCCTTTAATGACCTCCTTCCCCTGGGTACGTAGGTTCCATATGCAGTAAGATCATGCCTCTCGCCCAAGACTTGGATTTTTCAAGGGAAGTGATGGGAGCTTGGTGCCCCATTCCCAGTCAATGGGAGTTGTGTACCCAGCTCCCTTGAAAAACCACCGTTGGCCAGGTGCCTGCAGCCCATTCTGGCCTGCTCTTGATGTGCTCAGGTTAGAGCCCAATGCGTTATTCATCGAAGGTCTTGGAGCTACCTTCTTAGTCTATTGTTTTGACACCGTTCTACTGCACCACTTCATCTCCTGGTAACTATACCTACTGGGTCATTTTCACTGTAGGGTAAAGTATTTCCAAAGCTCCGGAAACGAAATAGTAACAAGTCAGTGGATCTGGAGGAAATGCCATATGAGGAGTCTGCTACAGACTATGTCTTCAGGATTATCTATCCAGGCCACAGGCATGATAACAGTAAGTGGCTTCATTGTTCTTTCATTTAAAAAAACAAACAAACTAGAGTGGTATGCTGGGATCTGTGGGGGAAAGAGACAACCCAGATTTTTTTAAGAGGATATTGCCACAGAGGTGTTCTGCCTTGTTAGGTAATTTATGATCCATGGTAAAGTTTACTATGGGTTTTCTTAAAGCTATAAAACAGGGGTTCTCAAACTTCATTGCATCACGATCCTCTTCTGACAACAAAAATTATTACACAACCCCAGGAGTGGGACCGAAGCCTGAACCAAAGCCTGATCCAGCCGCCGCCCCGGGATGGGAGGGGCAAAGTCAAAGCCCAATGGCTTCAGCCCCAGCAGGGAACTTGTAACCTGAGCTCTGCCACCCTGGGCTTGGGCCCCAGGTAGTGGGGCTTGGGCTTCGGCCCTGGGTGGTGGGGCTTTGGCTCTGGTCTTGGCCACAGCAAGTCTAAGCCAGCCCCTGGTGACCCCATTAAAATGGGATCCCGACCCGCCCTTTGAGAACCACTGCTATAAAACCTTCATTGCCCCAAACAGAAACGGAGAGTCCTACTCTCAGAGCCACCCTGTGTTCTCCAGCTGAACCCTGTGCACAACTTTCAAACGGAGACCAAATGCAAAACAATCCCCATGGCTAATCCAACAGCAATTCTGCTCCAAAAATGAAGTGTGTTTCTATTGCGCCGGCAGCTTCCTAGCAAGAGTGTTATTAAAAGGAGAAAAGATTAACACTAACCATTAAAAAAAGACCCTCCCTCGAAAAAACCAACATACCCAAAACCCTGCAAGCCCAATTTTCCTGGCATTCTCTACTGAAGCTTCACAATAAATAGGGGGGAGAACCCACCCCCCAAACTCCTTCCTCTCTTCTGTGAATCCGAACTCTCTATATACAAGAGATCTTGCACACTGGTTCTCTAGCAGTGGGTTCATTTTCACGTCCATTGGTGGAGAAGCTAGAAAGTAGCAACATCCTGAGATGTTTGGATCACGGTCCCAAGTTTAAAGGGGATTTGGATCCAGTGTTCCCATTCAGGTTCATCACAGCTCGAAAGTGGCAAAATCAATTAAACACTTACCCTTGCCCACTTCCCGCCCCCCCCCCCTCACCCCGCCCCTGAGAATAGGCCATAAGGAGCCAAGCCCCTTTTGCCTCAACCCAGCCTGTGAGGGAATGTCTGCACCACAATAAAACACCCACTACTGGTTCTTGTCATCTGACTCAAGCTCGCGGGGCTATAAAGCTGAGCCTGAGCTCTGGGACCCTCCCTCCTTGGGGCATCCCAGCGCTAGGCACGCAGTCTGCTCCCACCAGCAGGAGGCACTGCAGATTGTGTGGACACATGCAGCTGTTCGTGTCTGGTTGAAATCTGGCCCATGGAGTGCGTGCTCTTCTCCGTGAGAAATGTCTCTTCCCCCCCCACCCAGGCGCGGGGGGAGTTCCCAGGGTCTCTCCCAAGCTCCGACTCCTCTGTCTGTGTTGAACGTGTCCTTTGAGACTTCTCCTAGAACCAAGTCCTCTCTTCTTATGCTCCTCTTTCACTATTTTCTTTGAGCAGTAACTATTAACTACCACCACTTAGCTGCCAGCCGCTCTGCCTCAGTCGATGACGACGAGGAGGAGGAAGACCGGCTCCACGCAATGCTCTCAATGATCTGCTCTCGGAACCTCACAGCTCCTAATAGGATGAAAGGTTTTTATCCACCGCCCCCCGGCCCTGCCCCCTCAGTGCTCTATGGCAGTGTCACCCCAGTGATGCATACAACAGTGTTGGCATTATGGCAAGACAAATGTTTTTCATTCACATCAGGGGTGGGAAGGCACCCAAAAGCCGGGGGAGCAGGGTTAGCAGCACCTTTCCTCCCCATCTCAAGGTAGGATCCATGACAATGAATGACAGAGCCATCTTGCTTCCAGAATCTTCCTCCTCCAGACTCCCGCCTTAAGAGTTAAGTCACGACTCATGGTGTGTGCTCATACAGGGAAGTAAGCGGAGAGAAGGGGGCCCCTTACTTTGCTGCATGGGAGGTGGTGGGCGGGGAGAAAGGTATGGGTGAGGAGCCCTCCACCTGTCCAGCTTAAGAGGTAGCAATAAGTAAGATGTACTGAGTAAAGGGCTGGTAGAGGTTATGCCCCCTCAGCACGTGCGGGGAAACAAGAATCAAGTTGTAAATTAGAGTACATCAATACAGCACAAAAGGACCCATGGCAGCAAGTCTCAGGGTGACACTACAATCTACCCTTAAATGCACATGGGGACTTGAACAGACCAAGAAGCTTTTCATGCGCGAATGCCCTCCTGTCCACATACTGTGTGGATCTCAAACGATCAGTTACCGTATTCCTTACTGTACAACAGGCCCATCAAAAATACAGCCCCGTTCGCTCACCCTCGACCTATTCATAATGATATACTTGTTCACACCAGCAAACTTTCATCCCAGCAGAGATGAGCTAATTGGCAGATGATCAGGCCCTGGCTGTATAGTTCTGGAGACTTAGAATCCCTCCCCTCTTGAAGGAGGGAAGTGACGGGCATTCAACGGAGTAGAAAACCGTCTGTGGAGCAGAAAACCGTCTGCTGGACAGATGGAATTCTAAGGCTCCAGAAATGAAGCTAAGTTGGCTCAAAAACAGAACAGAAAGAAAAAAAATTCTGCAGAAATGATCATTAAGATTTCCTTTGTTGAAATGTTCAGCCCAGTTCTACTCAAGCATGACCTCTCCCGTGTTCCTGGCTGTCCCAGGACTAAACTCATTCAAGAGACACCCCCCTCCTTCCTTAGCTGCAGTATCTGTTGCTGTACAATTTCCATGTCAACAGTCTTGGCTTGGAGCTGTTGTGTCTTCAGGTGCCATAGATTTAACACACGCTTCCTTTAGCAAAAGAAAAGTCTTAGACTGTTGAGTGATTACAGGAATCCATCTTTTCCTCATTCCTCAGAGCTTTCACATGCCTTTAAATGCAGAACAATGGGTTTAGTGCTAAACGGATATCATCCCTGGCTTGGTGACGTTACCTATAGGAATGAGAGGATAACTGCCCTTGGTCCATTCTATTTTGGCCCTCTGCCGGGACCGCTATGATGCCATTGTGTTGTTATGTGGACCCCTGTCCACTGTGATCCCCATAGGTTGCCAAACCAGTCGGTCTGGCCACTACTCAGCGGGGCTGGATTCATATTCTACCAAAATGCTCTTAGAGGGGATGGAGAGGAAGAGAACCCCTAAAGCCCTCATCATCTTGTAGGAAGATAGTGTTTGCAGGAAATATCTGAACAGCAGGTTTCTTGTGAAGATGAGACTTTGAAATGACTTTTATGGTAGAAGATCCGTCTGTAACAGCGCATGCCTGCAAAGATGCGACTAAAAATATAAGTTAAACGATTACAACTTCAGCTTTGTTTGGTAGCTAATGGATATTTAAAGCAATCCTACTAGAGATGGCAAGAAACACTTTAAAAATAGTTAGCAACCTAGCTAGGACTACATACCATTTGACTAGTGATTCTTGTCAGTGAGCTAGGTTTGACTATCATTTGTCTACCCATCAGTGCTCCCTTGAAATAATGACAACACTGTTGTGTCAGGTTTGCTAGCCACTTTGCTTTTAATTTTTGCAACATGCTTGACTTTTTGCATGTGGCCAAAAGTTGCAGATAAACACCAACAAAAATGAATGAAATGAAGATGCTGTTCACTCTAATTCTTCATGAATTCAGGTACCTTTCATCTGAATCCTTAGGTTCTGTGGGGTTCTCGCCTTTTAAAGTAGATTGTTTCTTTAAAACAAACAAACAAAAAAAACCACCCACTTTTCTTGTCCTTGGAGGGGGAGGAAAAAAAATCATCTCAAAACATTTGTTTGTCCAATGCTTTTTATTTGAACCAAATGAGAAGCTGCAATAAATACTGGGTCATTCAGCTCCTTCCTGAAGAATTAAGGTGAAGAGCATTTTTTTCATTAAACTTTGTTTTGTGAAGTGAAATATTCATGACTGCTTCCGCATGAGCCTGTGCTTTTTATGTTAACATACCTTGTATGATTTCCATGCCGTTAAAATGCTTTATGCTACATTGATGGCTATATCTATATTAAAAATAGAGTCCATCTTCTTTTAAAAAGAAGAAATGTATTGTTACCTGCAATGGCAGAATGCATGAGACGGTTTGGAAATTCCCCACCCCTGCACTTAACATACATTTTGAAAGCACGGCCCAGAGGACCAGAGTTGCTTGTACATGTTAATGCAATGAATGACATCCTGTACTCTGCCTTTTGCCTTAATTTAAATCAAGGGTGAGCTGAAAGGCCAGTTATTTATGAAAAGCCCCAGCAGGTTTAGGTTAAGAATTTGAGCCATGATTTTCAAACACTACTGGCGATTTTTGGGTGCCCAGCTTGAGATACCTTTCAAGGGGGACCCTGGTTTTCAGACTGTGCTAAGCATCCACCCTCTGAAAATCAGGCCTCTAAGGTTTGGAATTGGGCACCCAAAATCTCTAGCTACTCCTGAAAAACTTGGCCTCTTTTTTTTTTTTTTTTAAAGTGCTGATCCTGCAACTTGTTTCCATGTGGGGAGAGATTTCAGACACATGGAAGTTGCGTGTTCAGAGCCTTAAACTCTAGTTTATGCGCTTGGGAGTGATCCGGGGAAGGACAGTGGGCGCACAGGGGCATCCCGTTCATGTGCAATGTTCCAGGGACAGCACCCTAGATTTAAACACACATGGAAAATACCATTAGGATTGATGTGTTACCTTTGTGCTCATGTTGGTTTTGTAAACCAGGCTTTGGCTGAGGCCAATTAAAGAAACGCACTCAAGGAGGTGGCATTGTGATGATGGGTCGATAGCACGGTTCTAACTGCAAACCATTTTACTCCCAGGAGGGTTAGAGTGGCACTCGGGCTGGATTAGCTTTCCACCTCTGTGAGTAACTGTTTCAGGATCAGATCCCAAATGACCACATCAAGAACGGAAAAGTTCAGACTGTCTCAGTTTGAGAGCGAGCCTATTTTTACTCTGGAATTAAACACACAGGATCTTTTGCTGTAGAAGTTATGGACTCACTTTAGGAATTACTGGGTGAAGCTCTCTGGCCTGTGGTATACAGGAGGTCAGACTAGATGACCATCATGGTCCCTTCTGGCCTTAAACTCTATTACTGTAGTATCAGATAAAAATTAGCTCCCATCTTCAGAAAGCAGAAGAGCGGCCTGCCTCGCACCCTGCATTTGAAACAGGCAGGGTGCTGGGCCGTGGGTGCACCTAACGGTTATCTAGGGAAGTTGGGGAAGCCCCATCACTGGAGGTTTTTACAAACACCTATCAGGTATATTTAATCTGCCTCAGGTGGCTGGACTAGGTGACCTCTTGAGGTCTCTTGCAGCTGTACATTTGTATGATTCAATGTAAAAAAATGGAGCATGCAGAGGACTTGGCTGGTTTAGCTGTGTTAGAGGGAAAGTAATGTTTTAGGGTCGCTAGTTCTGTCCCTTCCTGTCATCAAGGGTAGAGCCTGCAGCAAAGCACCAAGACATCAGGGTGCATCAGGAGGGCAGGGGCAGACAAACGTTTATGGCCATGATTTTTTTACCCCCCCTTTCCCCAGACTCCGGCGACATGATAGAGATGCAGGGATTCGGTGCGAGCTTGTTGTCATGGCAGCTGGAACACTGCAGCCAAGGGTCCTCGTGCCTCTCCTGTTCATCGGGCAGCTCTCCCTACGACATCCCCAGCTGCTGCAACTGCATTCACGACAGGTACACGGGCCAGGCCCGGGGAGAGGGCTTGACTCTATCGGCAGAAAGTGGAGGAAAGCTCTGGGCTTGCTGCCTACGGGGCCCTTTGCGCCCCGCACGCAAACGTCTGCCATCCTGCACCCGCTTATTAACGTAGCCATGGTGGACGTGTCCATGGCAACATCTGAGACTGAGGTAAAAGAATTCAAGAGTGCTGAAGCCCCCCTTTCGAAAGGGACCCAGGCATTTAGACGCCTAAGTCACCATGGAAAAAAAAAATCAATGGGACACAGGCTCCTAAATTCCCAGGTCACTTTTGAAATTGGGAGTTAGGCTCCTAAACCCCACCGGCACTTTTCAAAATGGTCTTCGATAGGTTTCCTGGGCAGGCGGAGGAGAAGTCGCAAGTGTTGCCGCTGCACCTGTTCAGCCAGCGGTCCCCTGCCTCCACCCCCCAAGGCAAGGCCTTGCATGTGGAGAAAAGTCACCCCAATGCCCCTTGCTCCAAGCACCAATGGCGAGTTTTAGGGGCGAGACGCTTCAGGGCTCCCAGGCGGCCCTGCTCCGGGTTACGGGGAGCGCGCTGTGGCTGGGCCACCGCCTGTGGAGATGTTACAGCATCACAACAACGAGAGCGAGACCTGGCTCCTTGTCTCTAGGACAGCCTTCACTTTTCAGTCTGTGGCGCAGCCCGCGCAACCAGCGTGCACCTAGAAGAGCCTGCCGCACACCGTGTGCTAAGCAGCCTCCCCTCCTGCTCTCGCCACTTCCTCTACAAAGCCTTCGACCGTGTCGAATGGCGGATCACACTTGTTCTGTGGGACAGAAAGGAAGGAGGCTCCAGTGGCAAGGGGACTAGCCTGCGACTTGGGAGACCTGGATCCAATGTCCTGCTCTGCCTACCTCTCAAGCGATGTTGTGAGGAGACATGCATTAAAAGCTTGGGGAGACACTATAGTGATAGGACCGAGGTCTCTCAATAGCCCCTGATTCTTCTCGCAGTAAATTGGTTTTACATCCGTGTACGCAAGAGGAGAATCAGGCCTTCAGGGGCTTCTGTTCAGTGCTCTATAAATGATCAACAGAAGCAGGTGAGCGCCATCTTCATTTAGCTCAAGTTCTCCAAGCCTCTGTTGGCACAGCGTTTTCCCTGCTGCATCTGTTTCCGTGCTGCGCCCAGCCTCGTCCTTTAGTTTCTCCTGCTCCCCTTGGAAGGTTGCTCGACGCTCCTCTAGACTTGCCCATGGAAAGCACTGGTGTCTAGTTGCGGCAGTCCAAAAATGCCACTTATTTTTTGGCCAGGAATGTTCTAAACTTGTTGGTGTGGTGGTTGAAATGCCCCCAGGAAGTTTTGTTTTCAAAAACTCCTGTTGCAACATTTTTGGTTTTAAAACTGAACGTTGTTCAGGGTAATTTTCTTTTTTTTAACTGAAAAACTTGAACCTTTCTATCAAAAAAAACCTTCAGCCAGCTCTTAAGTCTGTGTGTTTAGGTCAGTGGTGGAGAGAGTTCAGTTTTATGGACATAGGCAAACCAGTCATCCGTCAAAGGATGCTTACACCCCTACTTTGGTCAATGGTGGTGTTGTTGTCGCCAGGTTGGTCCGAGGCTATGAGCGAGAAGGGTAGGTGAGATAATATCTTCTACTGAGCCAAATTCTGTTGGTGGAAGGTAATAAGCTTTGGAGCTACATAGAGCTCTTCTTCAGGTCTGGGGAAGGAAGCAGAATATTAATGTGGCCTTTGTAATCCACCTGTCACTGTGGTACTGAGTTACCTAAATATTCATGTGGCTTGGGGCAGCATCCCAGGCAGCGAAATAATTTTAAAATCCAAAAACCTATTTCCTGTCAGATTTCTTTTTTAACCAAACGTGTCTTAGTTTGGTTTGGGAAAGGGGCAGCGTCTGTAGATCAGCTGGGATTAGGGATGTGTTCCATGATCCATATCACCGTAACCCCAAGCGTGTTTAAAAATGTCTCCCTACAGAACCCCATTAAAGATGCTGTGTGAAAGCATGAAGAGGCAGATTGTTTCCAGAGCGTTCTATGGATGTAAGTGAGGCTGTTTTCCAAAAGGGACAGTGTATGCAACTCCCGCAATATCACACGCTAGTTTGCACTGAGAAGGGCTGCGAAGTCAGGTAACTGGCCGTGTTCAGGTTAGAGAGGGATCCAAGCCAAACTATGGGGGGAGGCAGTTGAAAGCCAAATACAGGTGCAAATTTTTCAGGCGGCCCTTCTCTTCATAACGAGCCAAAGCAACCTAGAACTTTAGAGCGTTCAGAATCCTGACCCAAATATCCTGGCTTGGTAATGCCAGCAGCTCTTCTGTGTGCAGCCATGGAGAACTGATGCTTAAAGCGCTGCATGTTGCAACGTACTTTTACAAATACACGTTTGTTTTTTCACTTCCCGGCACAAGATTAAATAGCTGTCAACTTTGCCTCCCCCTTCCAGTCTACCTAGCATGCATGTGGGATTGTAGAGAGGAAAGCTTTGCTTCCAGCTTAAACTGCACAGCTCCATCTTTAAAAGGAGCTGCTGCCATCGGATATAATAACCTGCTTGCTTATATGAGATTCTGCCCTTCTATTTCCACCCCCTCTGCAGGGCTTGCGTACTGCCGCCATTTGTCTACAGTGAGAACGCATCTGTCTGCCCTCGTGAACCATTCAATTATCCCACCTGACAAGCCTTCCAGCGCTGCTGGAGGCCTGACTAAAGAGGTCTGGAGTAAATATCAAAAGGACAAAAAGGTAACGGGCACAAAACCTACCCCCAGTTCATAAAGGGAAAAAATCAGTACCCCACCCAACCCACACACACTGCCTCAGTGTCACGCCCTAATTTGGCTATAAATATTTCTAAGGATCTTTTCAAGTGACCAGTGTTGCCTTTAAGACTACATAAATTCACCATGTGCCAGCTTTGTTCCAATATTTGTGCAGACCCGATTCTCACTTACACTAAGGCCCCTTTGAGCTACCAGAGTAGTGGAAAGTTGGCATAAATGGCTGTTTCACTCACCTTAAAGGCCTTTTCGCTGTCAGAATGTCATAAAAGTATAAGGGCTTGTCTACACATGGAGTTGTTCCTGATGAACTCCATGTGTGGACACACTTATTCCAAAATAAGAGTGCCTTCATGGTGTTTAGCTTAACCCAGCAAGTGGTTTCAGCTAAATGGGAACAATGCACTCTGACTCCAGAGTGTGTCCACACATGGGGTTAATCAGGAACAACACCATGTGTAGACAAGACACAGATGAGAATCAGCCTGATGTATCTTTAAGCAGGATGAAGGAGATTTTGTAAACTAGGACCATCTAGAGGAACACTAGATCTTTTTGCCCTGCAATTTTAGACATTTAAAGTGATGTTTTTATTTGGACAATCCACTTCCTGATTTTGGGCAGCCCAGAAAGCAGCACTGATGGGGAGAAGACTTGAAAATTTAGGAGTCTGAAAATCTTCGGGAAAAGCCAAAGTGAATTAGGTTTTTACATGTAGTTTTTGAAGCAGATATAGCGCCATTAAAAGTAAGGGCTGGTCTACACTACGGGGTGCGGGGAATCGATCTAAGTTACACAACTTCAGCTACTTGAACATACGTAGATCTACTTACTGCGGTGTCTTCACTGCGGTGTCTCGACAGGAGACATGCTCCCGTCGATTCCCCTTGCGCTTCTCATTGAGGTGGAGTACTGGAGTTGATGCTAGAGCGATCGGCGGTCGATTTATCGTGTCTATACTAGACCCGACAAATCGAACCCCGACGGATCAATTGCAGCCGGTCAATCCGGCCAGTAGTGTAGACAAGCCCTCAGTCATTGCCAGATCTGATGACTGGAGTCCTGTCTACAGAACAGATGTAGCGCAAGCTGGAGTCTACAGAACAGATGTAGCACAAGCAATGTCAGGGCAAACTTCTGAGACAGTCTGCCTTTCTGCTGAGCACATGCTCCATAAGCACCTTCTTAAACATCTGCTTAAGTGCTTTCTTGATTCAGGACCCTAAAGGACTGTCCATGGATTCACACTGTGTGAATTCCTTAGAAGGGCAATTCTCCAAGGCCTGTTTGATCCTTTGCATCTCTGGTGACAGCAAAGGTATAATTTAGCATCTACGCAGTGGTAGATTCCATGATGGACACCAGTCCAATAGGAACTGACCCATTTTATATAGGCCGCTCAACAGCCATCAAATGGTAAGATCATATTGGGCCAGATGGGAACCAGTGACATAGAAATAAAAGTATCCCATCTGTATCCCATTGCCAACCTTTTTAAGGGCTTCCACTGTTTGTGTTTTTTCCATTAGCTGTGTACTTGCAAGTAACTGTAGTGCTTTTATGCAAGCTCAATAGTAAGGTGCATTCATTGTCCCCTCCCCTCTTTCCTGACTGCTTTAGAATTACAAAGAATTGGAATTACTCAAACGAGTTTACTATGGCGGAGTGCAGCATGAGATTCGAAAGGAAGTGTGGCCCTTCTTACTAGGCCACTACAAATTTGGCATGACCAAAAAGGAAATGGATCGGGTAAGTTCCGGCTTCTGAGATTTAAATGGGATGTTGAATTTTTAAATACGAAGAGCACTCTCTAGGTGTAATACTTCATTTTAATAAACACTCTCCTAGCATATGGTCTTTAGGGCACCAAAGCCCGTATTTTCGGGTTTTCTCCGGTAGGATTTGGACTTGGGAATGCGAACTCCTGAGTTTGATGCCACCGTGGGCAAGCCACCTGGCCTTCCTGTGCCCGAGTTTCTCTGTTTGGAGGATAATTGCCCTCCTAGTGTAAAAAGAAAAGGAGTACTTGTGGCACCTTAGAGACTAACCAATTTATTTGAGCATGAGCTTTCGTGAGCTACAGCTCACTTCATCAGATGCATACCGTGGAAACTGTAGCAGACTTTATATATACACAGAGAATATGAAACAATACCTCCTCCCACCCCACTGTCCTGCTGGTAATAGCTTATCTAAAGTGATCATCAGGTGGGCCATTTCCAGCACAAATCCAGGTTTTCTCACCCTCCACCCCCCCACACAAATTCACTCTCCTGCTGGTGCTAGCCCATCCAAAGTGACAACTCTTTACATAATCAAGTCGGGCTATTTCCTGCACAAATCCAGGTTTTCTCACATCCCCCCCACCCCCATACACACACAAACTCACTCTCCTGCTGGTAATAGCTCATCTAAACTGACCACTCTCCAAGTTTAAATCCAAGTTAAACCAGAACATCTGGGGGGGGGGTAGAAAAAAACAAGAGGAAACAGGCTACCTTGCATAATGACTTAGCCACTCCCAGTCTCTATTTAAGCCTAAATTAAGCCTGGTTTAACTTGGATTTAAACTTGGAGAGTGGTCAGTTTAGATGAGCTATTACCAGCAGGAGAGTGAGTTTGTGTGTGTATGGGGGTGGGGGGGATGTGAGAAAACCTGGATTTGTGCAGGAAATAGCCCGACTTGATTATGTAAAGAGTTGTCACTTTGGATGGGCTAGCACCAGCAGGAGAGTGAATTTGTGTGGGGGGGGTGGAGGGTGAGAAAACCTGGATTTGTGCTGGAAATGGCCCACCTGATGATCACTTTAGATAAGCTATTACCAGCAGGACAGTGGGGTGGGAGGAGGTATTGTTTCATATTCTCTGTGTATATATAAAGTCTGCTACAGTTTCCACGGTATGCATCTGATGAAGTGAGCTGTAGCTCACGAAAGCTCATGCTCAAATAAATTGGTTAGTCTCTAAGGTGCCACAAGTCCTCCTTTTCTTTTTGCGAATACAGACTAACACGGCTGTTACTCTGAAACCTCCTAGTGTAGTGAAGTGTAAATGCTAACGTACTATTTGTACTACACGCACACAGAAAACCCCCACCTTTGCCAAACTAACAACCGTTACAGATGGGCTACAGCCCTAGGGTACGAGGGCTGTGATGAAAATTCGGACAGCACAGTGACTGTACAGCCAGCAGCCCCACTACCGTGTTCCCTTAACACAGGGCACCTCCACCTCAGAAAAGCTACAGGGTCCCATGCGAACCATTGGGCGCGGCTTTCAGTTAGGGTAGACACTGGAGGGCCTCCTCGTGCCTTTTTTGTGCCTGAAGGCCAAAGAGCGTGTGAGCAGCGTCTCCCTTTTATGAGATGGTTTACTGGACTGCGTGAAGTGATGCTGACCTCAGACTGCAGCCTCCCAGGGGCCCTGAAGGAGTGAACATGAGGCTGATGGACCTGCGTGTCTGTCCGCAAAGGGCAATCATAGGAGAGCAGCCTGAAAGCTGAATATGGCGGCGGGGGGGAGTCTTGTGTGGCTTGTGTCTGGCATAGGTCTCAGGGGGAGGAAAGGGCAGGCAGAGGGATTGTGCGAGCATGTGGCGAAGTGCTCGTCGGAGCAGGCGCTCCAGACGCTCCCCTCACGTGTCTGTACCGCTCCGCCAGGCTGCCGTTCTTAGTAAATTCGAGCTTTAGCAATGGCGAGGTTGGTAATGCGCTGCAGCGCCTGTGACATGAGACGCACGTATCCCTCGACTGCCAGTCTGTCTTCTCTCCAATTAGACACTAATGACCAGAGAGAGAGCCCAGATAACTCCACCACTGTCTAATTTTGCCAGATTGCAATCAAAAGGGGAGACAGGAAAGTACCAGTCCCCTGGCTTTCCCTTTCCTCCAGAGGGAGGTAAAAGCGATGAGTACGGGTAATATTCAGTAAGTAGAAAAACAAAACCAATCTGCATTTATCAGAAGGGGACTGTTTGCCTAGTGCGTAAATCAGGAGTCAGGACACCTGGCTTCAGAGTCCCAGCTTCAGTTTGTCTGCGGGTTACGGCCAGGGATTGGTAATCAGGACAACTGGATTTTATTCCCCTTTTAACATCTGTGCCTCAGTTTCCCTATTTGTAAAATAGGACTCCTACTAAATTCACCCAGGGGTTGCAAGGCGTAAATCAGTGTTTGCTAGGTGCTTTGGGATCCTTAGATAAAGGGTGCCATTGAAGCGCTAGACTGGAAACTCCTAGGAGCAGAGACTGTCTTTGTCCAGCACCTAGCACAGTGGGGCCAAGATCCGTGACCGGGGCTCCTGGGCACTCCCACAACACCAATAATTATTAATCATAATAACGATAATGGTGCATTGGTTTGAGGAGTCAGCCCCTAAACAAAAAAGGCGTGCATTGGATGGGAGGGAGTATTAGGCAAGTGAGAGATCCAAGCAGTCAGAATATCAGCTCGCCAGGTCCTCGACTGAAACCATCACCGATGATTTATCACGTTTGCTTTCTGTACTATCATACCGTCATCCGTCAGCGCTGGGCAGCCAGGCTGGGGGCACTGTCTCACACGGCTCTCCTCCAGCTCCCACTAGGGGTCGTACTTTCTGATTTACTTCTCCACAGCCACCTCGCCTGACAGATATCCCCCCAGCTCCCAGGGAGAAGGCTACAGTAGCAACCAGCTGGCAAAGCCCAGAGCCTGAAGCCAGCTCACTATTAGGGCTTTTATCCAGCTCTTGGCAAGCAACAGAGCAGTAAAGTTATTTTCTCTCTCCTCGTAGCCAGAGGGTGTTTTTGGTGTCTGACTTGCCTTTCGACAGAGGAAACCAGCAGTAGCATACTATAAGAACCAGGGCGGGTGCATCTGGCTAGCGTGCAACTTAGACTCACTCTCAGCTGCTGATTCTGCAACGAGCTCTGCACAGGACTCATGTCCGGGAGCTCACTGCAGGGGCCTAGGTTACAAAGATTGAAGCGGGGGGGGGAGGGCAGAAATACAGTAGGGTGCCATAGGATTTGATTAGAGCAGGCCGTTGGTCCATTACCTTTAGTGAGATTTCAGGAGGTGGGCAGCACCCTTCTTGTTTATCTGGGGCCAGTCATGAAGTGCTGTATATTAAACGGTTTAAAAAAAAAATCCTTCCTGCTCTTCGTGGTGGCAGTTTACATGCTGAAGCATGAGATTTGATTGCTCCTATTTAGCACGCCTGATGTTACTGGCCAGTTGCAGCTGTGAATTCTGCCCCTTCACTGTTTCCTTTTCATTGGTTCTAGCTTGACCTGCCCTTAAATTTCACTACAGTCCTTTGCCTCTCATTCTGCTCACGCCCAAGCATGTGCCTGATTCCACTTTGCCCGTCTGTCGAGATAGTTGTGGCTTGCTCTTGCTGACCTCTCCCAAACAGGAAATGTATTTATCCTCACAACACCCTGTGAGAGGGGGCGGGGCTGGTAACCCCACTGGCCAGATGGGGAACTGAGGCACAGAGAAACTAAAAAGAAAAGGCGTACTAGTGGCACCTTAGAGACTAACCAATTTACTTGAGTGTAAGCTTTCGTGAGGAAGCTCATGCTCAAATAAATTGGTTAGTCTCTAAAGGTGCCACTAGTACGCCTTTTCTTTTTGCGAATACAGACTAACATGGCTGCTACTCTGAAACAGAGAAACTAAGTTACTTGCCCAAGGGAAAATGCCCCAAATCCCAGCTCAGTGATCAGAAGACCATCTTTCCTCCTTTCTCTCTCTCACACACACACACCTGAATTTAGGCTCCCCCCCGCCCCCAATTCTTATTTTGCTGGAGATGGGCCCCATCCTGGAATTGAGATCTAGACCCCAAGCCCAGTTTCCCTAGAGCTCAACGGGGTTTCAGATCCTGTCTGGCCACCTCACTAGCTTTAATCTCTTCTGACGTGCAAGCCACGCCATCTGGGCCTCTGACTGTCTCTGATGCCCTCCTGCAAGGAGGGTCTAACATTTCAGCTGCGTCTCTCTGTGTCTTTGTTCGAAGGTGGATGAAGATATTGCTCTCAAGTATCAGAAGGTCATGGCCGAGTGGAAAGCCTGCGAGGTCATCGTGAAGCAGCGGGAGAAAGAGTCACACTCTGCCATCTTTGCTAAGTTTTCATCAGGCAGCAGCATTGACAGCCATGTTCAGCGATTGATCCACAGGGATTCCACCATCAGCAACGACGTAAGTGGTCTTGTTTAGCTCTCTGTTCTCCTGTGCACTCATCCTTAAGGAATGTTGCAGTACAATGGGCGATGCTGGAAATATAGTGCTCACAGGCACAGCTTGGGGCAGGGGGACAACAGTTGCATAGGCACACTTGGGAAACTGCCCTCTGCATAATTTAGGCAGTCCAGGGACCTGCTCTCAATTAGAGAAGCCCTGCCTGCCCAGCAACTCTGCAACCTGGAATCTCTGTCGAGTTCTGGGCTATGGTCCCTGGGCCAGACCATGCTAGGGCTTGCAACAGGGCACATATAGGGTAGTCTATGGTTGTTCCTAAGCCTGCAGTGGGGGTATTCTCCCCCAGCTGGCTAAGGGGCTTTTATGGCCTCTGTCTACCACAGCAGCAGAAAATCCCTCTCAGGTAAGAACCTCTGGGGAATGGATTGGCTCAAGGAATTGATAATGGCTCTGAAGATTTGTTTGTCTTCGGGTCCCCAGCTCAAATCCAGCCAAGAGCAATAGTGATCGGCAGTTACTATTCCAGCAACCACGTGGTGGGTCCCAGTTTCATTTCTAGTAGGCAGGTGCTCAAATCAGAGATGGCCCCAGTGTTAGGCTCTGCCCTCGTCCCTCTAAGCCTAGATGCTGAGCACAGAATAGACAGGCAGACTGAACAGCCCTTGTGACGCAAGGTGAGGCGTTAGCCACACCGGTAGGCTGTGTGTTGGAGTAGGGGACTTGCGCTGCCCTGGTTGTATCTCCAGGGCTGCTAATCTGGCACCTTTCAAAAGCACTTAAATTCATGCACATGGATATGTTTAAAAATAAAAAAAAATAAAAAACCGTAGTCCTCAAAGCTGTAGGAAAAAATGAGTCACGTGGACAGTAAGACTGTACTGTCCAGAACAAACCCACCTTGCTAAAAGGGATAGACAATGACCTAAAAGAGCTCTCCCATCTCTAGCCATCTGTGACTATAAAAGCCCCATCACACACACTTTCAGGGTTAGTCTAAGCTATGCACTTAGCTGCCTCCTTATCGTTCAGAAGAGAACTTTCCTCGGGTAGCTGAAAACAGAACTTGCACCCAAAATCTGTAGCAAGTTTAAAAAAAAAAAAAAAAAAAAGTGGTGAAGTTTGCTTGCCCAACAGAAGGCAGTGCTATGAAACATGAGGTTGAAGGCCAGGATCTCCAGGTTCACGAGTGATTGCTCAGCTTGGGTGCCTCCGTTTTTGGGTGCCCAACTAGAGATGTTTTATAAAGGGGCTTGGTTTTTCAGCGAGTGGGTGCTCAGAGTCTGGCCCCTTTAAACGCGGCTCAGGTTAGGTGCCCAAAAACAGAGACATTCAACATCAAGTCATTTTTTAAAATTTAGGACACGGTGTGCAGATCTCAGTGGATATTACTTTTAGAGTCCCTTCTCTGGCCATATCCAGCCTCTAAGTTCATTGTAAAACCTGGGTAGATCCACTCTGTTCAGCTATAATATATACACGCACGGATGCTGCATGGGATAATATACAGATGCTCTACTGGCTCGGTGATCTTGTCTGTTGAAATAACCTCGGCCCACACACGAGTTTGGGACTTACTTAGTCTTTCCTTTCATCTCTTCCCCCCCCCCCCCCCCCCCCAACTCCTGCAATCCTCACCACCACCATCAGGTCTTCATATCTGTAGATGAAATGGACTCAACAGAGCAAGACTTACAAGGTCCGGTTGACCCCTCGTTGACTGTGGTGAACGTCGACACTCCAGTCGCAGCGGCTGCCGTCGAACAGCAGTCAGTAGAATTTGATTCTCCCGATTCCGGGCTGCCTTCTTCTCGGAATTACTCGGTCGCTTCGGGCATCCTGTCCAGCATCGACGATGGGCAGAGTGTCTGCTTTGAGGACGGGGCGGAGGAAGAAGTTAGCGCAGACTTAGAAAGACCAGATCTGGACGTGACCCAGGCTCAGAAAGCCAAGGTGGTGACCTCAGAGCGTCAGGATTCTGTAATGGAGGAACAACTGTGCTCCCAGTTGGATTATTTAACGTCTGGAGAGGACATTGCTTCTGTTTGTGGAGCTGCCTATACAGTAGGTCACTATTTATCATATTACGCATCGACCTATGTCTGTAGAGCACTCTTCCTTCTCTTCCTCTCAAAGGCCCTGCATGTATTTCAGACTTCCTGTCAAACAGGATTTAACTAAGGCTAGGCCAAAACCAGAACCTAAACTCTTTGAATGTCAGGGAGTGGGAGGGAACCCATGCATCCAAATCCCTCCGAGCTGTTTAACTGCTGGGTCGTATCCAAATCTAGGAGCAGCCTTTCTTCTGGGTCCAATTCAGAGGTGGCCAAAATCTCAAAGGAACAACTCATGAGAGTCTCTGGTGCCATCTGATCCAAATCCTAACCCATGAAACTGCACCCTAGCCCTAATCCAGACCCAACACCACCTGCTCGGATATTAGCGTTGCTATAAGCAGATTTAAGCTTTCTTGCTTCTGGCCTGTGTGCCACCAAAAGCCTGCCATCGCCCTTAATAATCCCCTGCACTGCTGGGCTGTGCTTGGAAGGCTCAGAAGGGAGAGCAGATGCACTGTACCTGGGACTGTCAGCAGCAGTGAGGTGGGTAGCTGTATGTATTTAAGCTGTGGGGTGGGATTCTAGGCTTTCCGGGTTCAGTGGAATCAAATCACATCTGGGGTTAAATTCTCTGCTGTGCCAAAATCTTCAGTTCAGCGGAGATGAGGGAAGTCCGTTCTGGTGCCCTGACTCTCTGGGCCAACCTGCACCAGCCCCTGGTCCCCACTGTGTTTCAAGAATCCTAGGGGTTGCTCTAAACTGCGCCAGCTGGCTGCCAAGGGCTATATGCAGCTGGAAATTGCCAGAGTGCACTGAACTGAGGCCACGGCCCCCCAAGATTCCCCCTGTGCTGTTGTGGTGAGTGCAGGAGCCAGGTAAGTGAGCTCTGGTGCTGCTTCGAGCACCCTCTTGGTGGTAATAATACCTAGCACGTATAGCGCACTTTTCATCTGTCAATCTCAAAGCGCTTTCCAGTAGGGGAACTCGGCTGAATCCGGACATCTTCCTACTTCTTAACTCAGGTTAATCTCCAGGAGCATCTTTTGTTTAACTGCCTCACTGGGTTTTTTTTTAAACCTTCTAGATAGAATTACTGGACACCGTTGCCTTAAATCTGCATAGAATCGATAAAGACGTTCAGAGGTGCGACCGGAATTACTGGTATTTTACTGCTGCTAACTTGGAGAAACTCAGAAACATCATGTGCAGGTAACACAGCTTGCAAAGCAAACGCTTCTTCTCACTGCACTGCAGCTAACTTGGGTTAATATCCGATAGTGCCTGCCTCTCCCAGAGTGCAGTACGGTATGGCCAAAAGCTTCCAGAGAAAGAGAAGATGTGGTCGGGTGGATAGTTTAGTGGAGTCCCAGCTCAGCTTCAGATTCTCTGTATCACCGTAAGTTTTGTAATGTACTTTGTTCCTCAGTTCCCCACCTGCAAAATGGGGCTAATGCTTCCCTACCTCCCAGAACTGTAGCAAAGATCAAATTAGTTAAGGAAACGGAGGCACTCTGATACGAGAGTGATATTTCAGCGAGTGGGAATGGGAAGGATACGTTTTCAGATCAAACCCCCTCCAGGCTCCTGGAAACAGTTCAGCTAGTATGGAGAGAGCTACCCTATTGAATCAGAGGTCAGTACTGTCCCTTTAACAATGTCGCTGCTGGCGGAGTATCCTGCTCTGAGTCCAAAAATTAAAACTTACTTCTCATAAGAAAAGTTTGGATGCTCAGACATTCGAGGCTGTGCATGCATTGTTTGGGGTTTTCCGTGGGCCTCCGGATTACAGTTTCTGCATCTAAATTATGTGGTCTGAGCTACATTCTGCCCCTGCCAAGTGGTATTTGAACTCCATACAGTGCTCTAAATCTGCGTAGTCTCCTGGCTTTTCTAGGGCATGATTCTGGAAGCTGGGGCTGGATTCCCACTACCGGACACACGTGCCTCCCCATAGGTGCTGGAACTAAGGGTGCTCTTGCACCCTATGGCTTGAAGTGGTTTCCATTATATACGGAGTTTACAGTTTGGTTCAATGACTCTCCTCAGCACCACCACTATACAAATGGTTCCAGCCCCCCTGTGCCTCCCTGGTTTTTAAGGCGGCTGCTGCCTTTATTTTTGTTAGTTTGTATTTCACCCGGTGGCAAAAGTCCCTGGAGGAGGGAGATTTTTCAAAGCCACTGAAGATTTAGGAGCACAAACCACACTGAAAGTCAGTGATTTTTTTTCTTCCTCCCAAAAAGTGATGTGCTTATGTAAATCTCTCCCTCTATGTTTTGTAGAAATCTAAACACATAATTCACCTTTGCCTCAGGTGGAGCAGGAGAATAACTAGTGTTGCTGACCCCTCTCTACACCCCAGTGTGATGTATTTGTGACTAAACAGGCCGGGGTGCTGGCTGTAATAGGATTAATATGCAGCTGTACCCTCATGGAGAATGCCCAGAGCACCACCCCATAGGAGTTTTTTGGAGCCCTGTATATAATGCAGTAGAAAGTTCTCTCCCTGACGCACAATTCGATAGAGAAGGAGATCCTCTCTTACAGCTTTTTTGCACCAGCCTATTAAATTGTAGGGCTTTTTAAGGGTGATTTCTGTAAGCACTATTGGCTTCCTCCTTAGGGAATTCACCCACTGGATCTACAGCCCAGCACTAGACATAGGGCTTTCTATTGGAGTTGGGTCTTAGGTCCACTAAAAACGATCCAGCAGAGAGGGGATTTAGAGATGACGTTTGCTAGTGTCTCTTCTGTTTCTTTTTTTGTGCAGTTATGTGTGGGAGCACCTGGATGTTGGATACGTCCAAGGCATGTGTGACCTACTGGCTCCTCTCATGGTTATCCTTGACAACGGTAGGCGGGCCGAGTTTTCCTTTTGTAATGCTCTGCCACCCTGGCAGATTAGTACGAGGTGCCCTTGGGAACACACGGAGTCAAAAGCGTACCACGTTTCGGAGGAAGCTGTGTGCATTATGTAATGGCAACTCCCCCAAACGGAAGGCTGCAGCGTTCCAGTCATCTTCCTGTTGCGAAGTGACTCACCCTGGCCTCTTGGGGATTCCCTATTTAATCTCCCCAGACTAAAGTTGACTTGTAAACAGAGGTAACAGTATTTCTGTAGCTGCTGGCACTGCAAACTCAACATGGGATCTGCAAATCGAGCTGGGCTCCTTCTGCAATCAGACAGACGGTCCAGTGGCCCACCTCATATTTTCACCCGGCACTGGTCATGGGGGAAAATAACAGATTTGGAAGGAGAAAGCTGCCCCTCCCCACCACCCCGTTACCTTGCAGCATCTTGCCGTGTCCAGTACAAACATGGGTCCCAGGCTTTGCAGCACTCTAATCCATCCACTTGCTATCCACAGATCAACTGGTGTACAGCTGCTTCAGCCACCTAATGAGGAGAATGAGCCAGAATTTCCCCAACGGAGGTGCTATGGACACACACTTCGCCAACATGCGATCACTAATTCAGGCGAGTCCTCACTGGGGTTAGGGCAGGGGAAGCATATTTGTATTGGCCTTGATGTCCCATTAGCTTGAAGCGGCCCCGCTCTTAAGCAGGCTCGTCCTGCTGATGCAATGAGGTGGTGACAGCTCCATTGGGAGGTTAAGCATCTCAGTTCCTGGGTGTCTGCCCTATGCAGTTAGCAAGGGATATTTGGGATCAGAGTCGTGTATATAACTCTTGGAAGGAGCACTGAGCCTCTGGTACAGCACAGCTCTGCCCACAGAGGAATGTCCATATAGCGCATGGACTGATCATCCTACGAACCACTACAAGGAGTAATGACGACAGTTCGGCCTATGGGTCTATGGGCTGATTCAATGGGAGACGGCTCAGGCCCCTGAGAGCAATTGAGAAGAAAAGACCCCTGAATTGTCTTGGCATTGGCTCAGTTTCCTTTGCGCTCACATGCAGGACTTGGGCTGCGTGGCTCTGTATTCTTGGAAGCTCTTCTTGCTGTCACCTTTGGGTGATTTATTTAGCCCGCAACATTACACTGCAAGGCAGGGAAGGTGGGGGAAAAGCAGTCAGGTGCAGTGATGGTTTATATAATCCTGTCTGGGCCACTGCTTCATTGTGTGTATACTGAGCAAGGCACGTATGAGAGGGCGAGGGACACACACACACTATTTTAGCTGGGTTGTTTGTTAGAAGGTCACAACTCTGGGGAAAACCAAACCACCCCCACCCGCTGCATGTGATCTCAGTTTTCCCAGGGTAAATAGGTAACAAATAATAAAAAGTACAAAAATATTATTATTTAATCAGATACAGTGAATCATATTTACTTTATAACCATTAATTAGACACAGGTTGTGATATAACTATAGTAGAGGGACAGTCACATTTTTATATTAAGGTTACATTTGTAAGTAGTTGACAAAGGTGTAATGTATATGTAACCATTTAAAATATAACACACATTAATGTGTATCCCAGCTATTAAACATCATCAGCAGAAGGCAACCTGTTGGATTTTAACAATTTAACTTCTTATAAACTATATTAAGGGTCTATTTATAATCACTGGTCTAGATTTTGTGTGACCACATAAATAGGCTTTCCAGTTATTTTTTTCAAATAATTGAAGATAAAATTTTTTAAATCAACTGACAATTTTTGCACTAGGAAGAAATTATCATGTCTTATTGAGCATCTGATTTGATAGCAAACTTAAGGCCCTGATCCTGTAACTGCATCCACGCAGGTAGATCCCTCTGCCTCCTCTGAGCCCCGTCAGCTGCCTGCAAGTACAAAGATTTTTTTTTAATCCTCCCTCTGTTCATTTTAAAATGAACAAAGGAAAGATTTTTCACGCAAGGAGGGGGACACGTACTGATCTTAACCAATTAAGATCGAAACTCTTCCAATGCTACAAATATGTCTACACACAGATATTTAGATATGACATTTGATCTTTATAAAATTAGTTAATCTGAGTACTTGCAATTAAATTGGTTCATTAAAATTTGATCCTTTTAAGATACTCAGTGATTTGATGTGCTGTATTCATACATGTCACAGTTGTTGAATCCTTGCTTTAAATATAAAAACTCAATCTTAATGTAGACTGAGATTAAAATAATTAGGTTATTCACATACTGTGAAAACATTAAGAAGCTATTTTACTTATACATGTTTGTTTTTTTCCAAATTGGAGGCCACAAGCCTTTAAAGGCTCCTGCATGTTGTACTTATTCCCATGACCATAAACAGTAAATAAGCAATATGCTGATAACACTCTAGGATAGGGGCTTCTTCCTTGCAGGAAGTTACTTTAGGGCACCACTAGATGTCTCTGTTTATCATTCATCTGGTGGTACTTGGGGGGTAAACTAGCTCAGTGATTCTCAAGCAGGGGTCTTCCAGGGGGTACATTAACTCATCTAGATATTTGCCTACTTTTACAACAGGCTACAGAAAAAGCACTAGCAAAGTCCGTACAAGCTAAAATTTCATACAGACAATGACTTGTTTATACTGCTCTATAGACTATACACTGAAATGTAAGTACAATATTTTTTGCCAATTATGTGGTAAAAATGAGAGTCAGCCATTTGTCAGTGATAGTGTGCTGTGCCACTTGGGTATTTTTATGCCTGATTTTGTAAGCAAGTCGTTTTTAAGTGAAGTGAAACTTAGGGGTACGCAGGACAAATCAGACTCCTGAAAGGGGTCCAGTCGTCTGGAAAGGTTGAGAGACGCTGCTGATCCAAACAAACATTTACATTTGGCTTATTGTGCTGAATGAGCAAGTACGTGAGAACAGATCCTGGGCAGTGGAGTTTGTTGAAATTGTATTTCCGTGTCTGGCTGTCCAATACTGTGGCTCTACGGCAGCTTTTAAAGGGCAATAAAAATATCAGACTGGATTGAAGGAGGAGGATGGCGGGGAGGGCCGACACATTCTGTATCTGAAAGGTGTGGCCACAATTTCACTGCTGAACAGCAACTTCCTTCAGAACCAGGGCGGATGTCACAGTGAAAGCAGCGCTTACTCACAAGCCTGTCAATTGGCCTCCGGGAGAAACCTTAACTTTGATTCGCTTCCCCATTTTATTTTTGAGATGTTCACCTGACATCTGGTGAGAGGTCGTTTCATTGTATGGCTCTTCCATGCTGCAGCGTGGGAGCCGGGAGTTAGACTCTGAATTTTAAGTAGCGATTACTCCATATAACAAAATGGAGCAGATTATAAAAATCTAGTCCTGCAAAGTGAGTAATTCTGTGGAAATCAGTGGGACCGCTCATGTGCAAATAACTGGACACATATTAGCTTATTTGAACTTTTAGACCACAATGCAGGCTGGTAGATCTCTGTTATGTGTATTGCTGGACCCTACCATCTTAGGCGCTGCACAAATGTATAACAAACGAATGGTCTCTGCACCAAAGAGCTTCCATAGCAAGTGACTGACATGTTTGGGTTTGTTGTTTTTATAAATGTAGGAGCACACAAACCAGCCCCTGAAATAGCTGGGATTACCCCCTGCTGGTAAGCAGTAGCTCCCAATCTGCTTTCCCCTCCCAGGACCCCCATGTTTAGAACTTCAACCAGTTTTGGGACCCCTCTGGGGAGCTGTGGCCCCCAGACCCATGCTTTACAGCGCTGCAATGACTAACCATTGCTTTGACCTACCGGAGCGAGAAATTTTCAAAAGGTGCAACTTTAACAGCCCTATCCCCTGGGGCCCTTTAAAGAGCTTTGCAAATATCAACCTGCCTGCTACTCCCGGGCGAGGGAAGTTAGGGTAATCCTCATTGTACATGGAGAGATTGAGGTGCAGAGAATTTAAATTACATGTTCAAGGACACGCAGTGGCAATGTAGGCAATAAAAGCCTGGAGTCCTGACTTCTTCTGCCCTGCTGTATCAGTCTCATGCTGCCCCCCCCCCCGTAAGGGTAGGGGAGAAGGGGGTAGTGATCAGACACCCCACATTCAGCAATATTAATCAGGCTACGCCAGCTGGACGCTTTGTCCCCATGTTTTTGAAGTGGCGTCTGAACACGACTGCCACCTGTTTGCTGGTGGGAACTCAGCTAAGCATCCGTAGCTGGGGTACGTCGCCATTGCTGTCAGCTTCAGTGAAACGCGGCCAGTTTCTGAGGATCTGGCCCTAGAGGTTTATACAAACTTCCTACCCCGTTTTTCTGCATACGTGTAAGCTAAGTTTTTGTTCCTCTTCCAGCACAACCGCTCCAAAACAAAGGGCTGGATTCGCTAGTCTGCTATGGCCACCTTGAGGCGGCTGTATTCTGGTTGGGGGTGACCAGTGGAGAATTCCCCTGCTGTAGGGGAACTCTCAGCTGTCATAAAGCTGGTGGAGGTAACCTCCTCCACCAGCTGTCTTCCCCTCCCACCTCTGGTTTACGGTCAGGTCAGGGGAGGGAGACGGAGTGGAGAGCCACTGGCGTACGGTCACATGTGGACGTTACAGCAGCTACGGAGCTACTCTAACCGCACGGTCAGGCTGGGTGGGGGCACAGAGACCCTCCTCAAAGTGTTTGATACTGATACTGTCGGAGGCAGGATACTCAAGTTGAAGGGTTTGGTTTTGTTTTCCAGATTTTAGACTCTGAGCTCTTTGAATTGATGCACCAAAATGGAGACTACACCCACTTTTACTTCTGCTATCGTTGGTTCCTGCTTGATTTTAAAAGAGGTAATAACACTGACTTTAGTGTCGGGGTAGGAATGGTAAACAGAGGCGGCCGTGGTCATGCCAAGGACCCTACGTACAATTCTCAATTTGCCTTCTAACAAATCAGCACAGCAATAGCTCTGAAGACAGTATAAGGCGCCTAGCACACAACCCAGTCTTGGGCGGGGCCTGTAGGTGCTACCATATTACACATCATCCTCTATCCCAAACACCAAGATGTCCTCTCCCACCATTAAATAGATGTGTATCATAACCAATCGCTACAAACCAAGAGACATGTGCTTGCTGTAGAACAAGTCAATAGTTCATTTAAACACATGAGCCCTAGCTTTCCCCAGATCAGAGGCTTAAAGAAACGTTAACAGTCAGCTCTGAAAAGTACAGATGTTCACATACTTAAGTGCGGGTCTTGCAGACGAGAGAGATGAAAGAGGAGAAAAAACAAGAGCCTGTCTGGGGGTTCTCTCTCTCGCTGGAGCAGCTGTCAGATGAGGGGTTGGGAAGAGGATTCTGAAGGGACTCCCAAATCCGCTTCCCCCTCCTCCAAAGAGACCCACAGCCAAACGCAAACTGTAGACCAGTGATACTCAGACTGAGGCTCGTGAGATGCAAGTGGCTCTTTAATGTGTCTCCTGTGGCTCTTTACGGCACATGATAGAAAACACTGTGTGATTTCATTAAATTATTAACCAATCTTAGCTGATAAAAATAATAATACTGGGCCTGTCATTTTGCTGTGAGCATAATATATATAAAAACTAAGTCTTTCCCCCTCACCCTGTTTAAGTGTGAATCTATAGCACTACAGTAAATGAAACAATGAATTCGCATGACTTTTGGGTAACGCTGATCGCTAATTTGGCTCCTGAACCACTGGGGTCTGAGAATTACTGCTGCAGACCCTACACTGTCACTGGCGGTGAAGATGGGCCCAGGTGTTTTGGGAGTTTTCAACGGTTAGAGCCAGATTCTGCTCACAGGCAAACCAGTGGAAATCCAAAGTAACCCTACTGCTGTCTCTGGATTTGCTCCACTTTCCACCAGCACCCGCTAGCCCTTACGGGTCTGTTTCTGTGTCCGATTCGTGCCTCGCTGCCAGTACCCACAACATTGACAAGTAGCAGCTACATTCAGCCCGGCAAAATACAAAGAAACTGCCCTGAGACCCTTAGGGCTTGTTCTTTGCTGTAACAATTACCGGGCACCCTTTTTAAAGCCACCACCTCAGCCGCGCAGACAGTGCTTTCAACCCCTCAAGGAAGCGAGGTTGTTAATAACTAGTGAAGATTCAGGATTAGAAGCCCCAGGCAGAATTGGGGCCCTACATGTTGTCCATAAACCAAGTAAGAGCTGATCCCTGGCGCAACGAATTTAGGGCAAGATTTTTAAAAGGTATTTAAGCCCCTAGTGGGATTTTCAAAAGCTCCTAGATGCCTCAAGCCCATTGAAATGAATGGGAATTGGGCACCTAGATACTTTGGAAAATCCAACTAGGCCTCAAAATACCCTTACACATCTGGCCCCTAGCATCTAAATAGACAAGACAGAGGAAGGGGAAACTGGAGACTGATTCCAGCTCTGCCCCTGGCCTGCATGGAGACAAGTCACTCCACCTCTCTGCCTCACAGGTCCAGTCCAACAGAGCACACTGACTCACTCCTTTGTGTCTTGCTCGCTTGGAAAGTTCTCCAGGCCATTGGGATTATACAGCTAGTGGCAAACTCATGTCTGTTATTACCTGCCTGCACTGTGATCTGTATTTACTTTGTCTTGTGAAATTGTCTTCATAATCTGTGGAAAAAATCTCATTTACTCCCATAACTCCCCTCTCTGCTGGTTATCTTTTGCTTTTCACTCAGGACACACAATGAAACTAGTCAGTTTCTAGTCTCCAGGGAACAGCCCAGTGCTGTTTAAATCCCTGGTGTTGTAAAGGAATGTTTCATTCCCACCTCCCAAAAGGGAGATCTTTCGTTTTATTTTTCAATCTGGAAATTTTTTGTATTCTTAGGAAGCTTTGTATAAACAAAAACTCCGAACTGAAGTAAGCTTGTTCTTTGACAGCTCACTGAGCCTGTATAACCATTAAGGAGCAGGTTTTGCCACCATGACTCATATGCATGTCAGAATCTGACGTCTAGTACTGTTTGACCTCTGCCAACAGCCCTAGAAAACATGTCCTTTGAGAAACAGAACTGGTCAGCTTGAATAATCAGATGCTCTTGTAATGTTTATTCCCATTCAGAATTGTTGTACGAGGATGTATTTACAGTGTGGGAAGTTATTTGGGCAGCAAAGCACATCTCTTCAGAACATTTTGTCCTTTTCATTGCCTTAGCACTAGTGGAGGTCTATCGAGAGATTATCCGTGATAACAACATGGACTTCACTGATATCATAAAGTTTTTTAATGGTAAGAGATGGGGGTTTGGGGGAAAAAAAAACATTGATAAAAAGCAGTGGAATTGTGTCATTCACCTCTCCTTACCTCCTCCCCATTAGTGTCTGGTGGGTTTTTTAGATCAGAGTGTGGGCAATAGGCCAAGATTTTCTAGCAATTCTGGGTACCATGATGTTTGGGTCTGAACATGTTAATGGGCCTGTTTTCCAGAAGGGGGAGGCATTCTGCACTTTTCAGAAGCTAGGACTATTAAGAAGGTGGCTCAAAGTGGGCACCCAAAAAACAGAGGAACCCAAACTCACTCCTCACTCATGGCCACAGTGTTTCTATGCAGGTAACCTCGCTGGTGGCCGTAGATCAGGGGTTCTCAACTGTTTTCTTTCTAAGGCCCCTCCAACATGCTATAAAAACTCCATGGCCCCACTGTGCCCCAACAACTGCTTTTCTACATATGAAAGTCAGGGTTAGCATTACAGGGTAGCAAGCAGGGCAATTACCCGGGGCCCATTGCTGCAGGGGGCCCTGCAAAGCTAAGTTGGTCGGGCTGCGGCCTCAGGATTCAAGGCCCGGCGCTTCAGCTTTCTGCCATGGGCCCCAGCGAGTCTAACATGGGTCCTGCTTGGCAGGGCCCTGGACCCCTGGTTGCCGTAGACTGTGAGTGATGGATGAAAATGGGTTTTCAGGGCTCAGGAGCAGCCTGTTCTCAAACGAGTTTCTACCTTTTTTGTTGGAAAAAGTTCCCAGGCGGCTATAAAACTTCTGTCCAGTGGGCAGTGTGAGAATGTTTTAAAATAGAGGGACGTATGAGCCTTCCATCCCAGAGCCACTGAGGAATGGGTGTGAAGGTCAGCTGTATGCTTTAAGATGACCAGCGTGCTAGCCTATTCCTCCTCTGATCCCTGTGGCTGTAGGGATTTTCCCCAGCACTAAAACTGAAACAAAAGGGATTGTTAACACTGGGGGGCAGGATCTCTGGACCGTTAGCCCTAAAGGATTAATCCTGGATCTTTTATGACACAGTTAAATGTGCAAGTCAACAGTCATGCAATACTTTTGATTGCTGCACATGCGTGTCTCCCTGGCTTGCAGATGCCTGAACAACTCCTGAGGCAATCTATGTCTGTCTTTCTTGTAGAAATGGCAGAGCATCACAATGCCCAGGAAATCCTGAAGATAGCAAGGGACCTCGTCTACAAAGTGCAAACGCTGATTGAAAACAAGTGAACGCGGACAGAGAGGAAAACGGGCTTAGCGCTGACTAAGCATTTCTTGCACTGTAACTTCAGATGATGTTTTAATTGCATCTTCCATGTAATGTAGTAAATAGTCCAGAGATTTGTAATAGACTTTTAAAACAAACAAGTTTTCCACCATGAGCTGATGAGGTTTGTGTTTGATAGTCCTTGTTATGCTCACTTTGTAGTGCGAGGCAAACCTTTTGTTTTGTTTTTTTGCATTCTACCCTCTCCTAGTCTCTAGGTATTGTCCAGCTACATGTCTGAGATACAGAAGGAATTTGGGGGTTTGGAGTCCTATTTTGACCTATCAGACCCTTAACACACTAGAGATATTTTGTGCTTGACCAAACCTCCCTGGGCCAATTCAACGCCCATTGAAGTCTATGAGCACTGGAGCAGGATCTTAGACAAGCAAGTGCTGTGGAGTTCACCTAGGAGAGGTGAAAGGATGTCCCAGCTCCCACGCGTGTTTTTGGCCGTATGATGACTGTCCATCCCGTTATCTAGAACCATTTATGACCAAGTAATCACGTTAGAAATCACACTGTGGAAGAGAATAAAAACACCCTGTCTCCGAGAAGCCAAGACAGCTTAGTCAGAAAACTCCTGGTCAAATATCTTCACTAGGCCACTAGTGACTCCTGGCAGTAATCCGCAGCATATCTACAGGGACCTTGCGAGCGTCAGGTATCCTTAGGCCAACCATCCTCACGAGAAGAGGAAAGCTAGGATTAAAATCTGAGGGGGCAACTTGTAAATTGCTGCCTCTAAGAGATACAAGACGCTAAATCGTCATGTCCAGATTGTTGCAATTTTAAGTCTTTTAAAAAAAACCTTAACGGTAGCGTTTGCTGACATTTCAGTGACACTGGTATGAGAAGACGTGAAGGCCAGTTTTCAGTGCCCACAGCCCCTGAGCATGTGCTTCAAGTTAAGCTTGTGATTAAACCCCTCCCTACTTCACTGACCACTACACAGTTGCTTAGCATGGTGCTGAATCTGGGCCAGAAAGATTAGAGTCTCTTTAGGGTAGGAGCTGGCTTTTTGTTCTGTCTGGACAACAGGGTTCTGGGCTGGGGACCCAAGGTGCCTCCACAATATAAATAATTGTAATAAAAAGAGACTCCAGCTATCAGGGAGACATTTCTGCTACCCTTCCCCACAGTAAGTCGTCAGTACCTTACTCTGCAAGTATTCCAAGGTGGCAGAATCTGGCCCTATATAGTTTACACTTTCAGGTTAGTCAGCTCTTGAAACCTGGCTTAGTGCATAGGAAATTAAGCCCCTTCTCGTGGGGTTGGATCTCCCACTCCTGCACCTGTGTGGAGTGGGGCAAGCACAGGGATCTGCAGAACCTCACGAACACGCATGCCCTGCAATTTGCACACCTGCCTTCTCAGAGAGAATTAGGGCCTATCGGATTAGAACTTCATGACCTCTGAAAAATAGAATCCAGGACATCACTAATTCCCATGTAGGTATCAGCATTTGCTGCACTAAGAAAGGGTATTTTGTGGTGCTATTTTTATTTGAGTGCATTTGCTGTCTCTGGAATGTTTCCATGCAAACATGCAATAGTTCTCTGTCGTTCGCACGTATTACGGAGGTTCTGCAGCATTCATTTCTCTATTGGACTGAAAGTTTAGAGTAGTGGCACAATACTTACACCTCCTCCGCGGGGATAAGGAGTTGTGACAATTGAAACCAGCCCAGGATCTGTCCTCGGGCTTTAGTTTGTCAGTGTGTTTAGATCTCCACAGGGTCACCACATAGACTATAGTACATACTGAGATCCAGGACATACTGTGAGAGTCTTCAAACTGATCAGTTAGATTGAAAGTTTAATGATATAGCAGAAAGAGAATTACCACTGTGCCAACAAGAGAGAAGGTCTGACCCTAATGAAGTTACCCGTTGATTTCACTAGAGTGGGCACATAGACACTTTTTAAAAAAAATCCAGAAGCGCAAATCCCCCTGACTGGCAATAGGCCTTGTGCTCCTGAATCATCTACGCCCTTTTGAAAATTCCATCCTTTGCCAAGGTGCCTCACTATTAAAGATGGCCAAATCTCTTCCAAGGGAGCTATTAAAATTAAATTTAGTCCTGAACCAAAGCCCTGGATCCAAATGCCCTTAAAGTTCATGGCTCAGTTGATGAGTTACCTTTTGAGAGCAGAATTTTCAAAAGGACTGACCGCTGGGCCTGACTTTGCATCCATTGGAGTCATTGGTGAAACTCCCCATTGGGCTTAGTGAAAGCAGAGTTAGGCCAACCCTAAGCACGTCTGGAAAGCGCACCCATAACATCTTGGTCTATCTTAGATGATCTTTAAGGGATTTCACCGAGGAAGGGAATAAATCAGTGTTGTATGTTTGAAAATAGAAAAACAAAAAACCACTCTACACAAATTTCAGCAGTTAGAACTAGCAGGACCAGAGTTTAAAAAAACCACTAAACATTAAAGTGGTGTTTTCACTGGATAGTATTAGAACAGTGACTGTTTACCCATTGTTTCACTTGCATCTTTTAAACAGGATAAATTTGATGCATTTCTGAAACAGATTATAATCCACAAGTGGCCCACTGTGAAATTTGAGGGACATTACCCTCAGTTATAGTCTGTGCAAAGATACAGATTGAATTATGCCAAAGAATCAGTACATGACACTCATTCCTCTGTTATTTTTTTTTACAAATCAAGGAAAATAAATTTCAGGTGTATAAAGACACAACAAACTTTTGTATCCGTAATATTATAAGACTATACAGTATCTCTACCTTGTTCGACACTAAAATGGGTAGAGACCCTTATTCTCAGATTTTTTTTTGAAACAATAGTAAAAGATGTTTACATATAGAGTTGAAGATGTATAAACCTGTAATACGTCATGAAGTTAGGGGGAAGTCGCTTTTAAATTTGATCCACTTTCTGTAAACCTTTGACGAATGAGAATTTGTCATTCATGCCTTACTTGATCAAGCTGCCCCAAAAACAGTGTGTTCAAAACTTCCTTGTTCAGTCAAAAAAAAAATTTTTTTTTTTTTTTCAGAATATTGTTGCAACAAGGTCCTGGCTAAACCAGTCTGTCTGTCCATCTGATCTGTGCCATTTGTATAGTTTCTTGGTCCCTTAAGAGGGCTGTCTATCATTTTAGATACACCCAAATATCATGCAGTCAGTTACCACTATCAACTTTCATGTGACCTGAACTAAGGAGAGAAATGAGAAGTTTTAAGGCGACATGTTCCTTTGTGATTTCACAAAATGGGGCAGAGGAAATCTCGGTGTACTTTGAAATGCCAATCAGTCTTCATGCATTCCAGGATGGGTTTGTTCCCTACCCTCCCTTCTAGCCGATACATAAAGATCTCCCGCTCCTTGCTTCTTTTCCATGGGATTGTGCAGTCTGACATTTAAACCATCCTGGCTTTCCCCAGGGCTTCATTCTCTCTGCAGAATGATGCATCAGCTGTTCAGCAAGAATCCATTCTACACAGGCAGAGGGGCGGTTGTGCAGAAATATGTATTCTACATAGCAGCACATGGGCAAGAAAGCCCGCTACTGGTCCTCTGAAATTGAGGACGAGAGCTCCTTCCCAAAATGCAGTTTGAAGGGTGGTGCAGCCCTGGCACTGCAGAGATGATGTATTAAGGGGTGAAAGTGACAGGTATTTAAAGCGCTCCTGCTAGCCAGTAGAACTGCTTAGTCAGTTCGTGTAGCTGGGTTTTGTTGAATTTGTAGAACAGGGGATGAGGAAAAAAAGACAGTGGTTAAAATAAAGAAACCAAACCAAAAAGGTTTTTATTAAATGTTGTCAAAGTGGTCAACAGTTCCTTTCTAAGGCCAGTCCTGCTAATTTCCCTTGAGTAGTCTCACTGATTTTAGTGGGATTACTCAGGTGAGTAAAAGCAGCAGGATTTGGCCCTAAAATGTTTTAAGACTATGCAAGGTGTAGACGTACTGGTGGTTATTGGAGCAATGAATTAAAAAGGCCAGAAAGTCTCTTTCTCTAAACAGTAGGCTGCCTTGGGAAGATACCAGTGGATCAATGAAAGAAAGAAAAATTGAGTGCAACCAACTTAATGACGGTTTCTTTGAATTCCTGGGATGCATGGTAGCATCGCTGTCAGATCTTTCCCAAGCTAGCAGGCTTCATCCAGGAGCAGTTAGTTAGATCTAGCTAGCCATTTGTTCTGTGCTCGTAGCCCAACACCTTAAAAGCTGCACCTTGCATTTTTCAAGACAAAGAAGGGTCAAAAATTGCAGATGATTCAGGTGTATGCAAAAGGGCCAAAGTTAGATGGGCAGAGGGAGACTGTTAGAGGGGAAGGAGCCCTTTTTAACCCTATAACTCAATGCCAAAATCAAAGGTATTTGGAGGGGGAGGAGAACAGCTACCATCCAATAATTTGGGAACACTCAAGGTTAAATTAAACAACAAAAACATTCTTTTGCTGGCGGGCGAAGCCACCGAAAACCACTATTATTTATCGCTTGGTGTCAAATTGTATTGTAGACCAATGCATGGTTGCCGGAGGGGCTTAACAAATGCTTTGCAGTTTGTGTATCCGTTTGTTCATCTGAAAGGTGAAAACAAATCCCATTAAAAATCCCGCCAGGAGAAAAATCTCTCCAAGAAACCCAGCTTGAGGAATTTATGTTAAAAAAAAATCTGCGCTCTTTTTGGTTTGGAAGTGATTCTACAACTCTTTACTATGTAAAAAAAAAAAAGAAAAAGAAAGAAAAAGAAAAATCTCTGCAAACTTTGTTGCATCTGTTCTGCATAATTGTATTTTATGACTATTGTGCATTGCCTTATTTATTTGTGTCAGGAGCAGACTGTTTTCCCTTTATTGCTCAAAATTATTTATCTTTAAATGTAACATACGAATAAATACATATTGTCAAGGCTTTTTGTGAACGTTGGTCCCATTTAATGGGGGGAGGGGGATCTCAAAAGCTGAACCGAGAATGCTGACCTTATGCTTATTTCTGAATAGTAAGTGATATGTAATTAAGTTTCCATGCATAATCTGCATGGACTATTGTACTATGCAGACCTTTTCACAGTAAGTAGGTCACCACCAAATAGATTTTTAAAGGTTCCCTGAATAACTTCAAACATAATACAGTGTATGCATTCATTATATACAACCACACACACCCCGCACCTGATTGTGCTGCAGTTAAGTAACTGGGATTTTCCCTTGCACCGTAATGGGAGTGGTGTTTAGGCTGAAGGATTTTCCTTTTGGAAATTTCATCCTACAACTTGAGGGCCTGATCTCACCCAACATTAATTCAACAAAGCTAATGAGCTTCCATGATGGCTCCTTTCCCTCTCTAATTGTTCCCTTTACTCTCTTTCCAGTGGAGTTTCCACAGTATGCATCTGATGAAGTGAGCTGTAGCTCACGAAAGCTTATGCTCAAATAAATTGGTTAGTCTCTAAGGTGCCACAAGTACTCCTTTTCTTTTTGCGAATACAGACTAACACGGCTGTTACTCTGAAACCTTCCAGGCTTGCTGCTTCCGATATATTTTAAGCAGTTTGGGTTTTGTTTTATTCAGTCTATTTTTTATTCACATTCCCATGTTACATTTTAACAACCAATGTATGTTCCTTGCTAGTGGCTTTGTTCAGGCTGCCTTTCCATTTTTTAAGGATAGTTTGGTCACGCTTTCTAATTAAAAGTAGTTTATAAAGGGGGTAATAGATGGTTAATAAATAGCTAATCAATTGTTAAGAGTCCAATAGCTGAATAGGCCATCTACAATGACTCCTACTGAGGTGCTTTAACCATCAAACCACATACCTCCAACGTCCGGTCCATCGATTAATCATTTGTCCACCCTTACAAAAATGGAACCTTAATATAAAAAGTGTGACCAATCACTTTGGTGCAAATAACCTTTCACCCATTTAATCCCACTTCTTTTCTCACCTTGCCTTCCTCCTTAGGGGAATGCACGCTTTCTGACATCAATAGCTGCTTCGCACGCATTTGGGACTAGCGGCTCTCTCTCATTAGCTCCCTCTTTTATCCCAAGCTGTCTTTTGAAGACTTCCGAGCACCACAGCTAGTCTGTGGTATGATCTCAGACACCAGCGAGCGTACGCGGTCATCACTGGCTCACCCGTAGCATTACTTCTAAGAGCGTAGCTTCTTGGCTCATCTACAATTAGCTGTTCCAAGAAGCAACAATGTAAAGGTGTTGAGAAATTCTCTCTCTAAATGGTGTTCTAAGTTGGTAAAATGCCACAGTAGAAGCGAGTAGGTGAAGTCACCTGATATTATTGTTAGAATTTTTTTGCACCTTTGATCTTATTCAAACACTGAACGTACTATCATTCTTCTGATAAGGCAGGTAATGTAACTATTGTGTTGGTATCCATACTGATCGTACCCCGTGCTCCTCTCCATTGAGAGATACTCTTGCATTAGATGCTACTGACTCTGTAGATATAGCGCGACCCCCCTAATCTGCCCTTTCCTGTATCGTGTATAGCCAGGTGTTACAGTACCCACTCATTTGTCAGAAATGCCTATTCTGTCAAGGTCCTTCTTCCACTGTCAAGTACTCTAGCTCATCTCCACTTGCTTTTTAGCTCCTCAACGTGAGAGATAGACTTTTATAGGTTTTATTTTTCAGCCAGGTATCTTATTTGCATACCACACGCCTTCACTCGGTACCCTTTCTCTGGAATGTACCTCTGCAATCCTAACCTAGGCAGCTCCAGCAGGGGTGTGATTTTTGTCCTATCCTTTATTCCCAGATACAGAGTTATCTATATAGCTACTGGCACGCCAGGCAGGTGTGGTCTTTGTCTGAGCTGGATACTCCCTGGCCCCTGCTGTTTCCCCACCACCATGCTGTTAGTTTAAACAATCTGGTGCAAAACCAGATCAACTTCTCGTTGGCGCAGTCTGCTTCTCCTTGCTTAAGATGGTGCCTGTGTCTTCCCCACAAAGTTCCCCAGTGCCTAATTATATTTAAAACTCATCTTCTCAGTCACACATTAAGGCTCGGATTTGGGAGCCTAATTCCCTTAGCCTCCGGCCTGACACTGAAATTCCCCTGGACATAACTTGTGTTGGGCTAAAGAAACACAACAGATCTGTGCGTGGGGGAGGGAGTGGATCTAGGTGTTTTGCTAGAAAGCTGAGGATTATGATTTTGGGATCTTTACAGCAAAGAACATTCTTTCCTGTAATTCTTTCCCGCTCAGACTTTGCTCTTATACAGTGTAAGGCCCTTCAACCACCAGATATCAAACCACCTATTCTAAAATATTATTTTTCAAACTTACCTACCCAGCCAATTACACAAAGGACATTCGATATAACTATACTAGACACAATAGCCTTTATTACTGACATTTTTCACATTTTGATCAGCGGGGCTAAAAATCCGCAAGGCAGTATTAAAGTAGATACACACAATACGTACCATAGCATGCCATCTCTCACGTGCAAAGTTGTGCTCCAAAAAAATGTTTCTAGAGAAGTAAGACAAGACATTCGTGGCATGAACTGTAGAACGCAGTAGTGTAAAAGTGTCCACCCATAATACTGCTGGAGTGCCCAGGGCTTAGCAACCCTGTTTTCACCACGGGGGGGGGAGGGGGGGAGAATAAAATAAATCAGTTTTTCTATGCATGCTTAGCCTTAAGACTCTCCACAGCTCTGCCAAGCGTTACGTCAAGTCACTAGACACTGAGAAGTGCAATATTAGGATTTATTTGTCCTACAAAGGACAAACTTTAAAAAAAAAAAAAAAAGAACCCTGATTTTGCATAGTAATATCACGGAGACTGCTACAAAATTGATTCCAAATAAGAAGGATGTGGAAAAATTGGAGAGAGTCCAGCAGAGGGCAACAAAAATGATTCGGGGACTGGAACACGAGTTATGAGGAGAGGCTGAGGGAACTGGGGATGTTTAGTCTGCGGAAGAGAAGAATGAGGGGGGATTTGATAGCTGCTTTTAACTACCTGAAAGGGGATTCCAAAAAGGATGGATCTAGATTGTTCTCAGTGGTAGCAGATGACAGAACAAGGAGTAATGGTCTCAAGTTGCAGTGGGGGAGGTTTAGGTTGGATATTAGGAAAAACTTTTTCACTAGGAGGGTGATGAAACACTGGAATGCATTACCTAGGGAGATGGTGGAATCTCCTTCCTTAGACATTTTTAAGATCAGGCTTGACAAAGCCCTGGCTGGGATGATTTAATTGGGGATCGGTCCTGCTTTGAGCAGGGGGTTGGACTAGATGACCTCCTGAGGTCCCTTCCAACCCTGATATTCTATGATTCTAAGAGATTTTTCCATAATCCATTCCTACATGCACTTTTGCCTGCCCCCAAGGACTGCACTAGTAAGATACCGCATTGTCTACCATGCAATGCCAGCACTTAACTCCCTGTGGGGGCGAACATGGGAGACATATAGCAACTTTTACACTAGGAGGACAGCAGACATATTTTCTGACATACACTCGCACTACGCTTTGCAGTCTCCCACCCATATATGATCCTTATGCTGAAAACAACTGGTCACGACTAAACTAGTGACTTCAACCCGTCACAAAAGCCACTTGGCTTTAAGATCTGACACCAGCCACCAAACTAGTGGGGCTTTAAAGTCAATTTTTAATGTGGTTTTTTTTCATAGATATTTAGGTCAGAAGGGACCATTATGATCATCTAGTCTGACCTCCTGCACAACGCAGGCCACAGAATTTCACCCACCACTCCTACAAAAAAAACCAAAACCTCACACCTATATCTGTGCTATTGAAGTCCTCAAATCGTAGTTTAAAGACTTCAAGGAGCAGAGAATCCTCCAGCAAGTGACCCGTGCCCCATGCTACAGAGGAAGGCGAAAAATCTCCAGGGCCTCTTCCAATCTGCCCTGGAGGAAAATTCCTTCCCGACCCCAAATATGGCGATCAGCTAAACCCTGAGCATATGGGCAAGATTCATCAGCCAGATACTACAGAAAATTCTTTCCTGGGTAACTCAGATCTTACCTATGTATTCCTATGTATCAAACAAAAGGGTTTAAACAAAAGAAGCGAACACTCTCGCTGTGCATTCCAGAGAGGAAGCCTGCAGGAGTACAGCCTATGTTTGGAGCCGGGAATGGATTAGGCCATATTTAATTCGACGAGCAGTGTCATATATTCAGAGAGCACTGGCAGACGAGGGACAGCCCTTTCTCATGCCAGTGGGAACGAATACTGGACGACTTGCCTATTAAATAGCATCTAATTAACCAAATCCACTTCAAGCTAACAAGGCGCGCCAAAAATAGAGTAACAAGGTTGCAGCAGAAAGGGCTTTGTTAGAGGCTTAGAAATCAAATGGGGTGTAATTTACAGCATCTCAGAAGGATGTAGGCTGGGCCTGGAGGCAGGATCCAGAGGTCTGGCCAGTGGAGGCGCTGATTCCGTGAGATGGTGATAAAACACAAGGGTAAGTGTGGAATTGCACCCGTAACTGAACACACTGTGAAAAGCGGAGGAAGCACCTCAGCGCTAGCATGAAAAACAATCCCCCCCTGCACAATAGCTAGAGAGTCCTGACCACAAAGCCCAGGATCTTCCTCCTCCCCCCAACTCCCGATTAATACCTGAACTAGAATCCGGCCCCCTCACTCGCTAACAGCTCAGGACCAAAACCCCAGACCCAAACGTTCTCCCAAACTTTGAGGACGTTAAGAGGCAGATCTGGACGCTGAGCCCATCAGAGGGGAAAGGGGCAGCTTTGCTGTACTGCAAATGCATGGCAAAATAAGTTCATACTCTCTATAGCTACAGGCCCAGGCTGGAGATGGACCCCAAACCACACCATTTAAACCCAGATTCCAAACACCCCAAAGCATAGAGGTGTTTGGGCCTCAAGCTTGAA